CTACGACAGATCCTTGGCCTGTCATGGCAGGATCGGCTCCCAAACACCACCGTGCTGAAGCTCACTAACAGCAGTGACATGTATACCATGTTCCGGAGGAGGCGACTCAGATGGATCGGCCATGTACGTCGTATGCCAGATGAACGTCTCCCAAAATCCATCTTCCATGGGGAGTTAGCTGTGGGACACCGCCCTCGTGGACGACCCAAGCTCCGCTTTAAGGATGTCGTCAAGCGGGACATGAATGTCTTTAACATCAACCCTCATCAATGGCATCACCTTGCGGAAGACCGGGCAGCTTGGCGGTCTGCACTGACAGAAGGCACAACTTTGTCCTGTCATGCTTACACCAGCTTTTGCACAGAAAGACGGCATGCTAGATACCGTTCAGATCGGCGCTTGCGCTGTAAAAGGCCTTGATGATGATCCAAATATTGTGACCAATATGCATTGATAATTTAGGGTAATCCAAAACTAAATTACAAACAAACAAATAAGAACAAACAAATACATACATGCATAGTTTGAATGGAAAATTACAAGAGACACCAACTGAAGTTTCTCAATTTTAAAGGCCAGGAACTGTGTGGTTGCAAAAATACTTTATTTATTTCTTTATTACACTTAAAAAAGTATTTTCTGCTTGTTTATCATATAGGCTATTTAATTTCATTTTACAGCTTTTAAAACCATTCCACAGGATTGTACAGATTTTCCCTCAAAATCAGCACAGAAAGTGCCAAAAACAAAATCCAGATTCTACTTGTGTCTGATGGTGAAACTGACAGCACGGTTTTCAAATGTCTACAGGAAAGTGTACAGGAAACAGAAGTAATTTTGAATGTGGAATGTGCCGATGGCCAAATTGTGAACATTTTCACCTGCTCGATCATTTCTACTTTGCTATATTTGTCATCGGTCCCCACCCTTATCCTGAGTCACTCACCAGGAAACAAAGCCAGCTTCATGTTGTGCCACAGTGAAATCTCACTCAAGTGTACATCCTCAATAATGTGCCATTAACGGTTTGTTTTAAAACTGCTTGGCTTAAAGGGGACCTATTATGCCCCTTTTTACAAGATGTAATAAGCCTCAGTTGTCCTCAGAATATGTCTGTGAAGGTTCAGCTCAAAATACCCCACGGGTTCTTTATTATAGCATGCCCTAAATGCCCCTATTTGGGTGAGAGCAAAAACACACTGTTTTAGTGTGTGTATCTTTAAATGCAGTGAGCTGTTGCTTCCCGCCCCCTTTTCCAGAAGAGGGCTGTGCCTTTACAGCACATGCTTCAGATACTCAGGTCAACAACAAAACAAAAAGTTGCGTTTATGAATTATACAGACGGTGAGCGTTTTCGGGTTAAAACATAGCCTAGCTCTGGTCTCTTCAGAGATAATAGTTACTTCAGCAACATTAGCTTTACAATTTGCAAAGATTCACAAAATGGAGCCTGTGCGTGGCTCACTCAGGGCGGGATCTATGCTAATAGGGCAGAGATCGCCACCCATCGTGGGCGGGGCTTGCCCTAGGGAGAAAACTGGGACAGCTCATTTTGAGACACTTTTTCTGTTTCATGGGGATTATATAAAAAAAAAGAGTGGGTGGATTTTTACCAGTATAGGGAGGTTGTTTACACACACTGACACACATCATGTACAAGCACCATGTAAAAGTGAATTTTGCTCAATCGGTCCCCTTTACAAACAAGCCAGTCAGACGTGTGAAAGCACATTTTAGCTGTAAGCTCTCATGTACGAGAATCACACCCGAGTTACCTCACACCTGATTTCAAAAGATCGTGACACTAGATATTATTTCATCACACTCTTCCGTTGTATTATGAAACACATAATGGGGATTTCAATTTGCTAAAAGTACAACTGTAACTCCTCACTCACTGTCCCATTACTGTGTAAACCGACCCCTTTTGACCTGAAGAGCACCAGTAGTTGAATAAGATTTAAACCTTATCTTGTGCTACTTTTGTGTAAGCAATGAGGAAAATGAAATCTGACAATTGAGTAATAATCCAGGCTAGGTAAATTGAGGTCAAGCCTCCCTCACAGATGGGTGGCAGTAAAGCTGAAATCTCTTCTGCTAGATGCTGATCCACTCATCGAGTGTTTCAGGTTAGCAGTGATGGGGAGTGACTGGAAGTTTAATCTCAGCTACTTTAAAGGTGCAGTAAGTGATTTCTGAGAAACGCCGTTGAAACTGGATCAGACCGAGCAGCAAACCACACTTGTAGCCAATCATCAGTAGAGGGTGTGTCCACTCATGATGGGGGAGGAGAGAAAGTGAGCCAATCAGCAGTAGAGGGCGTGTCCACTCATGATGGGGGAGGAGAGAAAGTGAGCCAATCAGGAGTAGAGGGCGTGTCCACTCATGATGTGGGAGGAGAGTGAGTGAGCCAATCAGCAGTAGGGGGCGTGTCCACTCAGGATGTGGGAGGAGAGTGAGTGAGCCAATCAGCGGTAGGGGGCGTGTCACTCATGATATGGGAGGAGAGAGAGTGAGCCAATCAGCAGCAGGGGCATGTCCAATCATGTGAGAGGAGAGAGAGATTTGAAGAAAGGCTGTAGAAAGAGAGATGGCTGAGAGACATTACAAAAAGCTCAAAAGAATATCACTGGAAAATGAAGGTTTAAGGTCAGGCAAGAGCTTTAGGATCAGCGTTTTATTAGAAAAGCTTTCCAGCGCTGGAGAGACTGAAGCAGGAAGGCCAGAAAACAGACATCGAGGTTGCGTTGGTTCTGCTCCTTACGCGATTTGGTTTTGCTATGTTTCACGGAACCAATAAATGCTGTTGTTGTAATCCGCTTTAGTAACAGGACAGTACTTAGTAGGGATGGGCATTTTTGTCAATTTCTCATTTCGATCATTGACGGGTCTCATAAAACGAGTATTCGAGTACTCCGGGGGGTGGGCCGTGTCAGTCATGAAAATGAAAATATGTTAAGACTGTTACGAAAATTAATGTTGACTAATAAAAATATGACATTCTAAAACATATCTATGAAAACATGAACGTATGACTTGAAAAAATATCACTGCTACAGTGGATAAAGAAAAGAAAAAGAAACATCTAAAAGGAATAGCTGCCTCAGGTAAAGCTGAAGAGTAAATGATATCCAGTAAAATTACATCTGCACAAAAGGACGCGAATGCGCATGTGAACTTGAGCATGCAAGTTTTTTACAGTCTATGGTTTGAAAGGAAAACTTTGGATAAACCAGACAACTAAAGCACAGAGAATTTACAACATTCTATCACAATCCCGGCTAGATCCGTTTGTTCGACCAATGTCAGACAGGGGCAGTGTTTTCGAAACCTTTTTGAGAACAGTCATTATACTTTGCAATAAATGTCGATGACAGTAGCGGTGCAGAAATGACAAATTGCACATTTATTTGCAATTGATTTAATTTTTTTTAAAATTTTTTAATCTATACTGCGATGTGAACGTAATACAGAAAAAAAGAAAATGGAAAAAAAAAGAAGAAAAAAAAGAAATTTTTATTTTGGAGAAAAAATGGATTTCCCTATTTATGTAATTAAAAAAAGAATATACCATCCTAAATAGATTGAATATTGGTAGCTATGTTTTGTTAGTAGCTTATAGGGCCAATCCCGATTTTCTTTAAGAATTAAATTAAACTCAGACGAAAGTGACTCGAACACACCGGCCGTCCTAAACACAACAAATACAGCAATAGGCTATCACGTACGATTGAGTGGTTATCGAGTCGTATAAACCCTGTAAACATTTAACACAGTAAATAAATGGATAAAAACATAGGTCTGTACCTCCAACGTGTTTATACAACACCATTTTACATGTGGCTTAGAGCTTCTAACGTTACAGAGTTGTGGTTAACTAACTTTTCGTTAAAATTGCAACTAAACATCCGCAGCAATCATACATACCATAAACTGATCCACCAGCAAACTTAGGCGTCGAAGATATCGTCGTCTCCGTTGTTTTCGGCGAACTTCACAAGTCAAATTCAAGAAAATAGCTGTAACCCACGCGACTGAGATGACTGCAGCTGTCGACGATATCTTGGAAGTTGTGATAAGAATCGGCGCATCTCCTGTGACGTAGGCGCTAGCGACGACTTATAATGACGTCTAACGGAGGCGTAGTGGTGTCCCATTTCTTAGGGGAATATTTTCACCCCTACGCCTTGCCACTCTGTTTCAAGGGTCAAGGGGAAGGCGAAGGGTGAGGGGTAGGGGAAGGCGAAGGGGTAAGGGGTAGAATTGGGATTGGGCCTTACTAACTACAGTTTTGAAATAGCTTCCCCAGAATCAACTGTAAGTGCCCTGGACTTCCCAGGGTATTTCACCATTTCAATATGAAGTGAACGAAGTTCGAAGGGCACTGCGAACAGCATTGGCATCATCCCAATACTGCAAGAACGTTGACTAAAGGTGGAGAAAAGTTAAGGCTCCACCATATTTAAAAAGTTCAATTAATCCCAGGTGTAATTTGCGCCCGACACAACAGTTACAACGCAACTATATCATGATTACGGTTAATTAAGATAAAAGACTAATATCTAATATAACCAAATTGCATTTATTTTAATTTCAAACATCACAACAGACCTTTCAGATCACTCTATTTAGCGCTTTCATATATAACAGATTATATTAATTGAAATTTATAATAAATATATATTTATATAAATATATAAATACACATACGAATAAAAGTATGATATTTATACTATATTAATTTATAGAAGTACATTGTCTCTATGTTTGATGTTGCTGCAGGGTGTTGTTCCGATGAACTCATTTTGTCAAGTGAAGTGAACTCTAACAGATATCCCGTGCTCAGGGAATAGTGAGCAGTGAACACTACTTAGGGACCCTGTCCATTTGAACGCAGCTCAAGCTCTAGACGTGGTGGTCATGTGTCTGGAACTCACAAGTGAGTTTGTGTCAGCAATTGAGACGGCCTGCTGATCCGTGTGTGATTTTGTTTCTCACAGAAAAAGCCACAGATGGCTCCCTGCAGAATGAAGACTGGACACTCAACATGGAGATCTGTGACATCATTAATGAGACCGAGGAAGGGTGAGAGGCCAACACACACACAAACACATGCGCACCGATCTTTCTGATGACTCACAGCGAGTCTCACGGACTCATTCAGAGCAGACTGACTGGGAATGTGCTGTCGTAGCGTTGAGCTCCAGCACAGTAATGGGTTCTCACAGTTCCTCTTGGCCTGTTTACAGCTGACGTCGAAAAGAATAAAACGCCTGAATTTCTTTCGAAAGAAGAATGTTTACAACTAGTTTTGTCTGCACAATGAAATTCAGTGGATGAATTTCTTTCATTTGATGTAGGGATACACGGTACATCTGCCACCATATCGGTATCGGCCGATATATGTTCATTTTTAAAGTTATCGATATCGGCACAATAAGAAAATGTGGCCAATATATTAAAGCCGATAAATAATAGATCATTACCTTCAGCTTTGCACTGTTGTGATGGTTTTGAATTGCTTGAAATATGATTTGAATCACTTCAAAAAAGGAAAATAAATACAGTTAAGTGCAACGTGCAGTGCAAGTCTGTCATATCGGCTGCATAAAATCATAATGAGAACATTATAATTGTGTGCTTAGGACTTGACTTTTAATGGTGAGACTTTTGTTTTTGTGATCAGGCTCTCAAAAAAAATTTGGATTTAGATTTATTGACCAATATATCGGTTATCGTCTTACAAATAGAAAGAGTTATCGGTATCGGCCAAAACGTTCATATCGGTGCATCCCTAATTTGATGTATTAAATGATGTACACTACCGTTTTTAATTTTTTTTTGAAAGAAGTCTCTTCTGCGCACCAAGGCTGCATTTATTTAATCAAAAATACAGTACAAATAATAATATTTGTGAGATATTATTGCGATTTAAAATAACTGTTTTCTAACGTATATTAAAATGTAATGTATTCCGGTGATGAAAAGCAGAATTTTCAGCATCTCCAGTCTTCAGTGTCACATGATCCTTCAGAAATCATTCTAATATGATGATTTGATGCTTAAGAAACATTTCTGATTATTATCAATGTTGAAAACAGTGCTGCTAAATATTTTTGTCACTTCTGATTAATTTAATGTGTTCTTGCTGAATTAAAGTATTAATAAAAAATAAAAATAAACTACTGACCCCAAACTTTTGCACGGGAGTGTATAATATACTCATGAAATCAGCTCAGTGAATACTAGTGTGACTGGATCACTCAAGACGAATGTTCATACCAGGTGTAAACAGGTTCTTCCCACAGCTTTTCCTGCTCCATATGATTCTTCACTTTCTCTTTTTCTCTCACACTGCCGTCAAACTGGCACTACAGGCTCGTCTCTGTTCTGTGTGAGGGAACACAGGGCTCTGTTGTGTTCTTCTTTGTTTGGGCTGGTTGTTTCCTGTTGTATTAGAAGTTGTGGGTGTTTTCAAGAATTTAAACAATCTTTCCTGTTGTTAATTAATTATGCATTCAATTATTTACATAAACGCCCTTTTATGCAGATTATGCCAAAGAGTACATTTGGACTTTGTAAGAATAGTCAGGTCAGATATGATTGATAGAAAGTGACCATCAAGTATTTAGTATTCAATTTCCCAGTTTTAGTTTTTTTTCCCCCTTCAGTTTTGTTTTTCAGTTCTGCCATTTTGTACTTCCCATAATGCAAGAGATTATTACTACTATAGTTCCTCTTCTCTATTTGACCTTACAGCACATGATGGCTGCATCTGAAATCGCAAACTTCCCTACTATATACTTGGTGATAAGCCGAACGTGAAATTAGTGTGTCTGAATTCATAGTCAAACTAAATCAAATGGACACTTTACTTTCCGGTGGAGAATTTGTGAATGACATTATGAATGTAGTACGTCCAGATTACATTCATATCAAGTAGAGTAGTTAGGCAGGTAATGTGATTTTGGATGCGGCTAATATTGCTTTCCTCCATTTCTCCGGTCTAAAGTTTGAGTCTGAGCAAAGTCCCTCTTAAGACAAGTCATTTGTTGGCCATCTATGAAACACCCTGTTACAAAAATAATGGTTGGTTCTTTTAACTATGGCGTTAGTAAATTATCTCATTAATTTGTACACAAGTTAAAATGTCTTTACATTGAGTTCAACTTTTAGTAGCTGATGTCGTTGTTCTTGCTTATAAAAAGCTCCTTAGATCTGACTTGGACGAAATGGGAGCTTTGATCACACCACAGGAAAAACCAACTCAATTTTGGCTTCTCGTGTAAGCTTAGAGATAATTAACTTTCAGGCCCTGAATTAGAGTGTGTTTGTAAGAGGGCTTTCAGTACTGGCTTTCTGGTGGCGTCTAGTTAAATTGAGTCTTTTAATTACTTTCCAGAATTCACAGACTGCTCTGCTGAATTGTATGTTATAAAATGGATTGTTACGGTCCTGGATAATTATGGTTGATGATGATCCAATCGTGCTGAAATACACAATACAGACGCAAAAAGTCTGACGCAAAAAACATCAGTTCAACTTCAGTAGCTACCGTTGGGGGTTTGTTCAAATCCCTAACCCTAAAGTGGGAGCAATAAACCGAATAATTGGTTATAGTAGGTATACATCAACAGCTTCTTCAGTAGAATATACTCGCATCACTAACCCTTTAAGGCCCTTTCACAGCAAGAACGATAACTATAAACATAAGGTTTTAAATGTTTCTGCTCTAACACTAAAGGAGCATTTACATTTATTGACGTTCGACCAATTTTTGCAGGCGAAATCAAGTCATTTCAATTAGGAATCAATGCAATTGTGAAATTCGCTTGAGGACGAAAAATTCCCCTCACCGATTTCGCAACATGTTCAGGTTGGTTAAACAGATTCGCTGCGTTGACCAATAGAAAGCTGCTTAGTCGTGTGAGCTGTGCTTCATACATCATTACACTACAGAAAATGGACCTTCCTTGTTCGTGAAATTTCGCCAAAATTTCGCTAATGAAATCGCAACTTAACAGAATAGTGGAGTCCACAGTTTCTCAGGCTACGTCTACATTAATCTGGATAGATTTTACCTTCTAAAACTCTCCGTACACACTAGCGTTTTCAAGCATTTTCCAAACGTTTATCATCCACACTGAAACGTCGGAAAACGCTAAATTTACCTTAGTACAGCGCATGCGTAAACCCTCATAAAAGCTCACTGAGATTATACAGACAGAACAAGACATAATCAAGTTATCACGCAATGGCAGGATCATTTTATTTAGCATAATAGATCTGATTTGTCCAGGTCGCACTCTCTCACCATTTTAATGTTTGGTCTAAAACGCAATTGCTCTCACGTTTTGCCGCAGGACAGCAAATGCGAGTGAATTTTCTGTCATCTTTGCAGGACTGTGATATGAAGAGTGTGTAAAGTAACATATTTTAGCAACTGTGTGACAGTGAATAGCACATAACGGGCACAATACCGGTATAAACATGTACATCTATGGGTTCAATATTCGTGCATCACATGACTAAACTTTTTTAAATACCTACGTTTTCACAGTCCACACCAAAACGCGAAAACAGCGTTTTCAAATGTATCCACTTTGGAGAGCATTTTCAAAGAGCTCAGTTTTCGTTGGTAAAAACACTGTCTCGGTGTGGACGAAAGGCCAAAACAGAGAGAAAAAGATGTGTTTTCAAACAAAAAGGTATTAGTGTGTGGACAGGGCCTCAGAGGATTTTTTTTTTCAAAACTAATGAAAGTTTAAAACCTTGAAAGCCAATCAAATCCTTCTTTCTTCAAAGTGCGCACTGCAATTATGGCAGAACATAACTGAAGCATGCACTTAGAATAAACGTAACGTTATTGTTAGGGGTGTAACGGTACACAAAAATCACGGTTCGGTACGTACCTCGGTTTTAAAGTCACGGTTCGGTACGTTTACGATACAGCAAAAAGTAAGAAATGCCAGAGAAATTTCCTATTTGTTAAAAGAAAAAATATTTTTTAAATAAGTGTGAGTTTTCCTACATCTTGAAACTTTCAGGTTTATAAATGGGGGTCATCTTTGAAGGATGAACAAATAATGTTTTGGTCATCACATTAAAAATAACATTTAAATATATTAAGAGTTCAGATGCAAAAGCCATTTGAAATTTTCTTCTAGAATGATCATTTTTATCAAGCTTGTATATTTAAGTTCAGTAATTTCACTTAAATGGCAATGAAGATTACCTATTAATTGTCATTTGAGTGAAATTACTGAACTTAAATATACAAGCTTCATAAAAATGATCATTCTAGAAGAAAATTTCAAATGGCACTTAGAGGCTTTTGCATCTGAACTCTTCATATATATATTTATTTATATAATATTTGACTTTTGATGTGCTGGAAAAAGATGTGTGATGTACTTGAAAGCATTTCACTATTCCAGCCAAACTGGTTACATTTAGTGTTACTATATTAAATCAATGGTGAATGTTGCTGGTCTGTGGACGTAAAGTATTACTAGATCATTCACGGCACAATGTTTCTCCTGGTGTCCACGTCAGCGCTGTTTGATCTAATAGAGATCTACGGTTAATAACGGAGAAATGTGAATGCTTCTCACTAGATCTCGCAGCGATGTTATAACTTCAGTGGCAAATTCAAATGTTTTCTTTACTGGATCTCTTAGCGCTGTGTAGTGACAGTGTCGCTTGATCGAGATCGGCTCGCGCTGCACAGATGTTGCTGGTCCGAACTGATAAACGGTCTGTGAAGCACAATAATGAGTAGCGCAGTTTCGTTCCGCTTTCATTACGCTTACCATTTGATGTTGCGCAACGTTGTGGTGGTCGCGCCAGCGCAAATTTTGTCGGCAGGAAAAATGGTCCAAGGAATCGTTCGGTTTGTATGCGTACCGAACTGGAAGCCTCGAACCGAAACGGTTCAATACGAATACATGTACCGTTACACCCCTAGTTATCGTCCATTGGTGTGGATTGTAATATTGGTATCATTGGTGTTTTTGTACACTGTTTTCCCCAACAGGCCCAAAGATGCCATGCGCGCGGTGAGAAAGAGACTCAACGGCAACAGGAACTTCCGTGAAGTGATGCTGGCTCTAACTGTGAGTTCCCTCACTTTCACATAAACCCTTGTGCTCATACTGTCGGGGAACAACATCTCATTTACAGTCTGATGCTGTGCACCTTTAATAGTTAATGGTGGCTGAGTACTTCTCCTCCAGGCCTGCCCGAGGCTATTTTGACATTTAAATAAGGTCTTTTGTGACTATTTGTATGCTTTATGCTAGCTGGAAGTGCTTTATGCTGTCATCTGCTAGTTTTGGCATGTCTAAATGATCGATAATCTCAGCTTCTTATGTAATTGTCTTTTCTAGGTGCTGGAGACTTGCGTGAAAAACTGTGGCCACCGTTTTCACGTCCACATCGCCAACAGAGACTTCATCGAAGGTGTCATGGTGAAAATCATCACTCCGAAGAACAACCCTCCTGCTATAGTGCAGGAAAAAGTTCTGGCACTGATTCAGGTAAACTGAGTGAGAGGCGAATGACTCGGTTCCCCCTGAGCTCTTCCTTTTGTTTTAGCGATATTGGCCTTCAGAAACCACTGTTGATGGCGTGGGGTGTGTGGTAGGGCTAGAAGACTGCCTGTGACGATGGACACTTTCACTGGGGCTGGAAACTAGGTCTGGTGGACCTGCTCTATGAGGCAACTTGCAATTGCATTAATTCTAGTTGACTGGAAGCCATTACAGGATCAGATTGACTCAGTGTAAAGTAGACGTCGGACAGTTTCCAGAGTTGTATACAGTGCGCAGATGCATTTTGTCTATTCTTGCGTCCTCCCAAATCCAATAGTCACATTGTTTTTCAGCTTGTAAAATATCTAACCATTAGACAGCAAGCATATCCGTAAAATTTAGAGAATCTATTCTTCCAAATGTGGTAATTACAGCCATTTTCTAACCCAGTGGTTCTCAACAAGGGAGTCGGAACCCAATCGCAAACTTCCTTAAGGGGCCTTAAATTGACTTAAAAGGATTTAAAATAAGGTCCAAACAACAAAAAATCATGTTTTTTTTAAGTTAAGAACCAGGGTTCACTCAAAAAAAAAAAATATTTAGGACTCTGTATCGGCCGATAAAAGCAATTATTTTCACTGTTGGCCATTGGCCGATTGTTAAAAAACAGCCAATGATCAGGGCTTATTGAATCCTGTCAATCAAAAGGGAGAGAGACAAACGTGTCAGACTGCAACCTGTACTGTGAGGAAAATCTCTCTTGTGTTGAATTTAGGGCGGTCGAAGTTACCTCGACAATAATAAAAAATAAAAAAAATGTAAAAAAAAACTTAGCTCAAGCCAGGGTTGCCAGGTTCATGGTTTTTCACTACACCAAACGTTATTTGTAGTGCACCTCCCCAGAGATGGGACCAAGTCACACATGTGCAAGTCTCAAGTAAGTCTCAAGTCTTAACCTTCAAGTCTCAAGTAAGTCCCAAGTATTTTTTTTCCTGGGCAAGTCAAGTCAAGTCACAGGCTATGTCAAGTCAATTCAAGTCAAGTCCTGTTGTAGGTCAAGTCAAGTCCAAGTCAAGTCACCTTATTATTGTAAATTTACCTGCAGAATTTTGATCTTTTCAAACCAGTTTAGTTTGAAATGAAAAGAGGCGCATTCGGAAGTGCATTTGGGTATAATGACACATTCATTCACTTTTCTCTTTCGCGCAGGTCATGTTTTGAAAGTCAGTGTCCTGTAGCTTACTAATTTAAAGAAATAAAAATGTATACAAAAATGTGATGATGTCTGACTACTTTTATGAAGAAGAAAGCCTTAAGTTTTCAAAAAGCATTAGACATATGACCCACTATTCTGCTTCGTGTATCAATGAATTCAAACGCGTTGGCTGGCACTGAGCCAGAGACATACGCTCTCAGTGCTGTCATACATAACAACTGATCAGTGTTTTCAACCACATAATTTTTATTTTAGGTTTCAGACATTTAAATACACAGAAATAGGCCTACTAGCAAAAAAAAAATGTACACACTGATGTCTATGGAAGCGTCAGTAATAATCCTTTCCATTATAATAAGACGACACGTTTTATTCATATCCGATACACATTGTGTAAATGGCTTTACATTTTACACTATTCTTCTCCCAGTTCACCGGTCACTTACTTTCATGTATTTTGTGAGAAGTTGAGAAATTGACGTGTTGTAAACTAACATGGCGCCGCCCATTCGCACATACAGCTCAACTATGCGATGTTATACAGGCATTTAAACAACAAAACACATCCACTTCCACATTTTTGACAATCGGAATATCAGTGTTTCATGTTATAGCTAATACATTTGTGAACATTTTGAATAAAACAGGAAAAATTACATAAAAGCAGATCATCATTCATTCAGCGCTGTGTTATGATTGCGCTGTGTCACGTGACAAGCAATGACGCGTCACCATGGAAACATTAAAATGAGTGACAGGTTCTAAATAACGGTCGCCTAGAAAACCTCACGCTGGGGGATCAGTTAGAATAGTTTAAACTTACTTGTGAAAGGGTTAATGGCTACTTTAGCTATTATTACATTAGCTAACTACCAACTAACCAGATAACATTAACAAATTGACAAGCACTTACTGGGCAGAATGGCTCTTCAAATGATGGACGAAATTTGAGGTTGTCGTCTGGCTGCCTGCAATGTTAATGTTGCATGTCTTGCAAAGCGCTGTTCGTCTTTTGCCATCTTGTGAATAATTCTTGAAGCCGAAAGCGATGACCCTCGGTACCCCTCCGGCTGACATTTTGATGTGATGTCTAAGTGGGCGTGGTGTGCGTAAGGTACGAGAGGGCATGACTGATGATAGTGTCGTGATCCAGTCATGACAACGCTATTCTCAGCCTGCGCTCCAGCTGGATCAACTTGTTTGTTTTTTAAATAATTTATATATTTTATATTCAAACTGAAAACATGATGTGATTAACACTCAAGTCATTCAAGTCATCGTGTCTCAAGTCAAGTCAAGTCCCGAGTCTTTAACTTCCAAGTCCGAGTCAAGTCTCAAGTATTTCATTTTATGTCAAGTCAAGTCACAAGTCATAAAAATAGCGACTCGAGTCGACTCGAGTCCAAGTCACCAAGTCACAAGTCCCCATGTCTGCGCCTCCCATCCAATAATCATAGAGAGCTTTGTGCTTGTTACTTCTGATATGAATAAAGTCTCAGCTTTCATATTTTGCCTATTTCTATCACGAAATTCAAACAATAAAAGCCATTTTGGCGTTCTTAACTGAAGAGTTTTTTCTTCCACTGTAATACAAGTCATAGCACGAAAAAACCTGCATGAACATCAGAAGGAAAGATACAGTAAAACTTCTCAATTTATCATGTCACTCAATCAGTGTTTCAAGACAGGCGTTTATGAAAACTACCTTATGGGCAAATTATCTGTATACAAACATTTCAGTTTTTATTTGAGTGTAAATATTATCTGAAAATAAATAGCAGAATATAATAGTTTTTTAACCTCTATTATTATAGTAATGTATCAAATAAGAGGATTCCTGCTATAATTTACAGCAATAGTTGGAAGAGACTTTTTTCCTCAAGAAAATCAAACTATCTGTATCGGTATCGGCAGATATCATTCTGAATAATCGGCTATTGGTATTGGCTGAGAAATTTAGTACCGGATGTGGACAATAGGGGTACAGCAGTCAAAAGCGATGAGAATCACTACTTTAACCTTTTCCATCTGCTCGGATCCGAATGATTTCCACTTGTGGCTACTGTATATTTATTAAGAACGGCCATCAGCAACAGTGATTCACACAATTCATTGTGCAATGTAAGGGGATTTACAGTCAAAGACCCAGAACCAGATGTGATGAATGAAGACCCGGAGTCAGAATTATAATAAATTGAAGCAAAGTTTTACTGAAGATAGTTTGCAGTTTCATCAGCAGAAGTCAGCTTCAAGACTCACAAGGAGTTCGTAGGCCGCCCCACTTACAGTTACAAAGATCCCAGCAGTTACACCCTTCACCAAAGGTCTAAGCTACGTCCAGGTTGAATGATTCTGATTGGCTAAGAAATGGATAAACACAGTAATTTTACACACATATACAGATAGACTGAAGCACATCTCCATCGATTAGGCGGCTGACACTCAGACCCTGAAGTTAGGCACGTCTTGACCTTCCAGGTCGCAGATTTGGGTTGCTGGGCGCCAGCCTGTCCCAAACAACAAATCAGTAAATCTCCAATAATGCCAGTGGTTCCTTAACCTGTAACCAAAAAGACTCACACACACACCGACACACAGCTTCTTCAAGGTTGGATTTGGCCAGGCTCTGACTATAAACAGGAGAGTCTTCTCAACACATCAAGATCAACCGTTCTTTCTCTCATACACTTCAATCTAACAGTAAAGTAAAGACTTTAGCTAAGAAATGGTCACTTAAACTATTGGTTCCAATGACCATAGTTGTCAGGGTACCCTAGAAAAGCAGATCTATGTATTGACAGTGACATGTTAAAGAAGTGCATACTTCATTTCTGGAAGCCGGGCTACATGAGCTAGCACTGTTACTGCATTCAGATATCAAACACAGACATTAGAGAATACATGCAAAGAACATTTCAGTAATGGTAACTTCTATAGCAAAGTAAAATCTCACAAGCCTGGAGAAGTCATTCAACTCATTTGATATTTAGAAGGAAAAATATTGATTAATACCGTGATTATAATCACTCATTAGATATACATTGAAGCAGCAGTGGATTCCAGAATCAGCAAATACATGGTTCCTGTTACCTGCTAAAGAACCATGTGTTACTAATTGCTGAAAAATAGTCGGACTTTTCCCTGATAATACCCGGTTAGGTGTACACTTAGAGCTACTTCCTGTGGGACAGCTCTTTCAGCTTTTTTTGTTTGTGTTTCACCCCAGTCCTGGGCAGATGCGTTCAGGAGTAGCCCAGACCTCACCGGAGTCGTGCACATTTACGAGGAGCTGAAGAGGAAAGGAATCGAGTTTCCCATGGCAGACCTGGACGCCTTGTCACCCATCCATACACCCCAGCGGGTGAGAAACATGATGCTCTCAGGCCTCTTGCGTATCTGTTTTTACATTAATTTCGCTTAATCTGCTCTTGCGTGTCATTCTAGGGAGTCCCAGAGGTGGATCCAGGCATTCACAAGTACAAGGCGCCCACGCAGCCCAACACAGCATCTCAGGCGACCCCTAAACCTGCAGCTGCTGCGACACCCGACTTAAACCCCATCCAGATCCCAGCCGTAGCGGGACCAATCACAGCAAACCCAGAGCAGGTCACAGCTCACCTTAGAGTAGTGTCAGGGGTGTAACAGTATATATCGTGTCACAATATATCGCGATACAAAAATGCAACAATATGTGTCATGGATAGTGACAATATGTAGTGTGCATAATTCACACAAAATTAAAAATTACTGTGTGAAAAATTCAAGTTAACAGAGTTTTAGTGTCAGTACTACATTAAACTACTATATATAATGTTGAATATAGTGTATAATAATGTAATGGAGGAATATTTATGGGTCCTGATAATGCCAAATGTCTTGTTACCAGTAAAAAGTGGCCTACGTTATTTTAAATATATATAGTCAGTGACAGAGTGCAAGCATATTCGTCTAAAATAATTATGTTTTCAGCTTCAGAATCATTCATATTTTTAGTCACCATTGTCCTGTGAGTTGGGTTTCCAGCACCAAGTCCAAGCCTTTTCATTTACACCCACAATGTTATATCAAATTTAGCATTTTAATCAACAGTACATTTTACCATATGTCTTGGCGTATCGCAATTATATCATATCGTGAGTTCAGTATTGTGATATGTATCGAATTGTGACATGAGGGTATCGTTACACCCCTATGTGTTAAGCTGAAATTAGGTAAACTGAGGCCTAGTGAGCTGATTTACTGCTAAGTAAAGGTTTTAGTGAAATAAAACAACATCTATACATTTTCCTATCTACACTATATAAAAATAAAATAAAACTCCGCTTTGATGAGCATAAGAGACTTCTTTCATAAACACACTCTTACTGACGCCAAACTTTTGACCAAACTTCTTCTTTTTTTTTTTTTTTACATTTGCAATTCTACATAAAAACATATATAACATACTGATAATCTAATGTGATTATGGCTAAACTGGGCACCAGTTATGTTTTCACCGTTATATTTTTCTGTTCATATCTATAGTCAATTTGGAAATGCTTTGTTTGTGCGTACAGATCGCAAGACTGAGAAGTGAGCTGGACGTTGTGCGCGGGAATATTAAAGTGATGTCAGAGATGCTGACGGAGATGGTGCCGGGCCAAGAGGAAGCCTCTGATCTCGAACTTCTACAGGTTTGCGAGTTTTACCACTACACTCACTCCTTTACGGAGAATTTATGCTTTGGTGATGGTGTATTACATTTTACCAGGGGTCTGAACTGGTTCAAGGAACAAAAACAAAACAGCGGAAACGAACGAGGATTCATTAAGAGCAATGATTATTCGATTTAATTTGGCATTTATTCATTTTTGGCTCTACATGACACCACAAGGGGGTGTAACAACACAATACACCCCATTTAGCCCAATGCACGTCTATGAACCCGTGCTTTATATATTTGTATAGTATGTTTTTGTTTTTTGGTCCTTTCTGTACTCGTCTAGTTCCATAATGCATTTGATGTATTCCTATAATGCGTTCTCAGGAGCTGAACAGGACATGTCGAGCCATGCAGCACAGGATAGTGGAGCTCATCTCTCGCGTGTCTAACGAAGAGGTCACCGAAGAGCTGCTACACGCCAACGACGATTTAAACAACATCTTCCTGCGCTACGAGAGGTGAGTTCCCCTCATCAGCCTTTATCTGACAGCTCGAGTCGGCTCAGGCTTGCCTTTGATTTCACTCGCTTTGCTTTAGAGCAGAGCACGCTGGGTCTGAAAACACATTAGCATTTCTTTCATCTCCATCTCGATATTTCACCAGAGCTCTGTGTGTTAACAGGTACGAGAGATACAGGCTGGGCAGAACAGCACAAAACAATGGGGTGAGTTTGACACCGCAGAACTGCTTATTAACACATACTTTCATTAACACATCTCTTTTATGTGTTTGTTGTTGTTGTTGAATATTGTTTCTTATAGGGTACATGTATGCCTTGTGGTAATGTTTGTCTGTTAAGCGCCTGCTCATGTTTTTTTATTTTTTTTTATTTTATTGTTTGCGTGATGCTTAGCTGAGAGAGGCAAGTATGATGCATCGCTGTCATGTAGAAAGTGTCCCGCGTCATCACATCTCTAGAGCTCTAGACCCTAGAAATAAAAATATTATTTCACGTCGTCTTCCTTTTCCCATCTTTACACGCACATTATAGGCCTTAGTTCGGTTGCAACTTCAGCTTTTCCTTTAAAAAAAGATATTAAACTTTTCAATAAAAGTGTAATCCTCACCTGTGTATGTGAATGTGGCTGTTTATTATTATGCATTTCAAATAATCAAGGAATTTGTTTAAAAATGTTAATTTAGTAAATATTTAAATTATGTTAAAAAAATTAGACTTGAATTCTTTAAACATTATTACTATTGTTATTATTAATATTAATATCATTACTTTTAATTCATTATTTACTAATTATATTTATAGGTTATGTAAATATAATATAACTTAAGCATGTATATAAAATATACAAAAGTAAAATAGTATGTAATAATACATAATATTAATTATAAATGGTTTCATTATAATAAAAAAAATACATGCTTAAGTTATACTATTATACTTGCATAACCAATATAACTTAAGTATTATATATATATATATATATGCTTAAGGTATAAATTATATAATTTACTATAATTTAATAAGTTATTATTTAATCATAATTTTAATGTTTAAAAATCTTTTCTACCAACAGTGTCCCTGAAATACAATTGCTTAAATTAAAAATACAAATGCAATGGTATTCAAAAACTGCTTTTTAATTGGCTGATTTTTTATTTTATTTAAGCCAAATTGAATTATCATTATGATGCAAATTCATTTATTATGCTATTATATACAATAGGTAATGCTGATTGTTTAACCTAGATAAGTAAGTGTGTGTTGTGAATGCACAGGTCCTGAATGAGGCTTCAGAGGAGGACAATCTAATAGATCTGGGTCCTGGTTCTCCAGCCGTGGTCAGTCCTCGGGTCAGCGCTACACCCTCTCATACACCCGCATCCACCCTGCAGCCTCCTGCTCCAACTACTGCTCCTGCTCCTGCAAACACAGCCTCCCTCTCCACACAGCTGGCAGGACTTGGTGAGGATCTCAAACACATCTGGATTCATGGCAACTTCAGGCTGGAGAACACATACATTTTAAAATCATATTGATAAAAGTATGCTAGCACTTTATTTGTTAACACTCTATTTTACAGTGTCCTTGTTACATATGCTACATGTACTTACCATAGTAATAACCGTAAATTATGCATAATTACATGCAACTAACCCTCAACCAAAACCTAATCCTACCCAAACCCTAGAGTAAGTACATGTAGTTGCTTAACATTACTCATTACTTAAATATATAATTACACTGTAACAAAGACACCTTAAAATAATGTGTTACCCTTTATTTTATAGTGCTGTTCCACATGTACATACGTTTTGCAAACGAAAAGTATGTATAGCAAGATTCAAGATGTTTATTTGTCATATGCACAGATTTACACCATGCAATGAAATTCTTAGGTTGCAAAAAGTTTCCCACAGTATAACATGTACACAATATACACACAATATATTTAAAAGATGCAAGTGTAGAATTGCATTCGGCAGAGAGACATTAAAAGCATCATAAAAAGCATGTACATTGAACAATGCAAACATTCACAGTGTAGTATTTAACATAATATTTAACATGTTACTTGTATTCCTCTATAAGACTTTAAGTTGACTTTAAGATGATTTCCTCCCGGTAGATGTGAGCGCAGACAGCGTCAGCGGCACTCTCAGCTCTCTGACCGCTCACAACCCTCAGGATGACTTTGACATGTTCGCCCACACCAGGTCCAGCTCTCTGGCTGACCAGCGCAAAAAGTGAGTGTCCACTACTATGACTATAGAGCTTATGCGCCAGAGAAACAAGCCCACAGCCACCTTTACACTTTTGCCTTTAATATTTCTGTATATTTCTATGGCATCGCTGTTGAAGAGTGATTAGCTGGTGAAGTGGATTTACTTATTGTAGAGTTATTGAAAGTTATCAAGAGCATTGTAATGTTTGAAGCGGATGTCATAACAAATGTCAGTAGACCGGGAAGATTTTAAATCGAGGGCTTCATAAGATCTGTGGAAATTCGAACAGGAAGACAGAACACAATGAGTGCAGCGCTGAAAAAGAGCGGGGTCTACACCACATTTAAAATCAACTCTAAACTATTTTCTTTGCTTGTTTTCCAGTGTTATATACGAGGAACCTCAGGCTCTGGTTAGCCTGGCGTCTGCTTTAGACATCAGACAGCATAATGCCACTGGGGTGAGTTTCCTAAAGCATGTTGTTTCTCTGTACTTTCATAGTGATGAAGGGTTTGGGTTTTGTGTGTTTCTGATCACTCAGTTCTTACATGTTATTACTTTTAGGCCCTGTTTACTCCTGGTATTGACTCTAAATACAGGTGTAAACTGGGTCTAAAACGTTTTGAGCTTGTCCACTTTCAACCACTTCCAGAGGTAGTTGAAAACGCATTGCTTTCGTAGTGTAAACGCTCATGTGGTCGAATGTTTAAACTGCTACTAAAGACCGCCTACTGAGTTAATGCGTAAACATTATGGGAAGAGCGCCAGCCAGACGGGATTTAAACTTTGACGGCTGAAGACCCAACTTTGGTTTGAATATGAAAAATGTACCAAGCACAACGTTCTCTCACCATTCCTGATTTGTAACACACACTCACAGCGTGATCTTGCATCTGTCAGAGCAGAAACGAAAGCTGTTGCTCTCTGTGTATTTCTGTCGTTTCCGTGTGTGTTCGTATGTAAATTGCGCAAGCTTATTTTGTCCATTAGATTAAAAGATCTGAAAAAGCCCATAGATTTACCGACCCATAGACCCTCCTCTAAAATGAAATCAGGACAGAAGTGTTTGAAAGTGGACAGAAGAGACGGATTAAAACATCAGGTGTAAACGGGAACGTGTCTCCCTCGTCTACTTGTGATCCGATCGACCAAAACGCATCTTAATAAACAGGGCTTTAGTGTGCTGAAGACCTCACTGTTTCTCAGAAGATGGGAAATCGCACTCGTCTTGAATGGCAAATAGAGTGGTGGAGGGATGATGTATTTTTGTAAACCGACCCAGTTGTTAGCATCACACTGGTTCCCATGACAAAATCCCAATAGGATTTTGGATTACTGCAGAAAATAAGCTCTGCTACTAACAAAAGCTTGTGACTCTTACAAGTTTTGTTCACCTTGATAATCTTCACGAATGAAGACAACTGTTATGAATGTATGAAGCGTTTGCATGAGCACGATTATAAACACAGTGGGTCTCATTCATGAAACACGAGCAGAACGAATTTGTGTGTAAATCGTGTGTAAAGTGGTTCTGGCGTAAATTTTCGGATTCATTAAAATGTTCGTATTTTCCAAATGTTAGTCGGTACACAAGAAATCTACACCTGCTCCCAGCCACGCGTAAATACTGCGCTTAACACCCGAACGTTTTGCTCATTAATAAGGCTGCATTTTAATTCACCTTAATCGGGTACATATTTGCACAGCATTTTGAAAAAATATTATATATAGTAATTACATACGTTTTTTCTTATTATGAGAGCCAGTAATAGCATCTGCGATGGCGGTCCTTCTCCAGTTTGAATACTATTTTTCCGAAGTGAACTAATTCGTTTTTTGCTGTCAAGCTTAATGTCGAACCATTTTCTTCTCACTTCTGGGAATGTTCGATTAACAGATGAAACTCCATTAACTGCATCTGTAATATGCTGCCGAGCTTCCTTTTTTTTTAGGACCCGATACGCCACTATGTACGCTTGAAAAAAAATGTGGCGTTTTGAATGAACTTCTGATAATAAAACTTCAATTTCTGCATCTGAGAATTTTTTTTTCATTCGCATTCATGTCATAATATGATGCTCATATATAGTTGTCAGTCGGATTTGATGGGCGGGATTTATGGTAATTGAGAATGAATGTGCACACGCATCCCATTTACGACTGATTGGAATTCATTAACACACACACACATTTCACTATCACATCTGACGTTTACGAAGTATTTGTAAATCAGGAGAAGAGTTTTCGGGAAGGTCTCTTTACGCGCAAATCACTCGCATATTTACTCGTATATTTACGAATGTTTCATGAATGAGACCCATTGAGGCTGTGAAAGCGACTAGTGAGGAGACGAGTTTACCTGTCTGTCCGATGACGTTTAATCTCAACCTCTGTCTCCCATATAGACGCTTGTAAGCAACTGCCAAATAAAAGCTTTAAAACAATCGCAAAAGTGCACGTGTTACTGATGTATTTTATGTCAAACGTCAAAATATCTTAAGCTCGTGTTCACCACAGACCTTTTTTCACCAAAACAACATCAATGAACCCATTGACCCCAGGACGATGGAACCAGAAGTGCTAAAATGCGAACTCGTTTTTTGGGTTTTGGCCTACCAAAATATGCCACCCCGCCAGCACTCTGTTTAACACATTTATAGTCCTCTACCTTTGCATGGTCTCTTTTAGCCTAAAAATGCTCCTGTCGTTGCTGACTCATATTGACACTACTCTGTGCCAAAACACAAAATTACATATTCCCATAGTCTTCAACATGCCACAGCTTGTTAATGCCCAAATTGGACTGGAGAAGTGCTGGCAGATTAGCTTGGGTTTGGTTCGGCTGAAAATAGCTCTCTGCACAAGAGCACATTGTTATATTCCTTACAAATACCACTACAGTTATTGTTGCTACAGTAATACTGTGATGTTTGCTATTAGCCGCCATTAAGCTTAATGGCAGAAAGATGTTGAAAGCATCGAACACAGTTTAAGGGTCAATGACAAATGAAATAAGAGAGTCCACGATACAGAAAAGATAAACCCTTTTAAAATGCATGTCAAGTTCTTAGAACTCATTTTATTCATGTTGGATTGATATGGTTAAAAAAAAAAAAAACTTTTCAAGCATTTTCAAGAAAAGTTAACATTTAATGACTATAAAAATGGGATTTGGTATAATTTTCCTTATTTGAATAAGGAAAATTATTGAATAAAATTAAGGAAAATCCTATTTGAATTTGAATACATAATGAAGTGTACTACACATCTTAATCATTATTTATTAAAAAATAAAGGCAAAGTTAAAAATTTCAAAAAAAATATTCCATGAATTATTAATTCATTCACGTTTTTCGTACTATATCATTTGGTAGTACTATACACTATATCATTGAACAAACCTTACCATAAAAAGGCTAAATTATCTGGATCCTCTCTTTAAAATAATTGGCTGGGGGTTTTTTTTTTCAAGTTTTTTCAATTATTAAAGCAGTGAAGCAGTTTGTTTGAAATATTTAGTTTTTTAATAAATAATGATTAAGGCAATACAGTATGACTTGAAATTCTCTGCTATTAGGAAATCAATTTTAGACTGATTGGATCTCTTGTACCAGACATACTTTGTGTTGAAATCGACCGAGGTTACATAACCGTCGTGGATTAGAGGTGCGATGCATAGCGATCAGCCCATGGGTCAAAGTTTACACTTCTCTCTCCCCTCTCTTTTTGTTTGTTTTCCCACTCCATCCACCTTAGTTCATTGACTCAGAGTTACATTTCCCCTGGCCTTAAACGACACCCGCTTCAGTTCTCCTGAAGATGGAGGTGGCCACATGTCTCTGTGCTTGTATTGGGGTGGGTGCTTTGCTCTTCTTCACATGTGTACGGTGTTTTCTGTTGTTGATTTAGCCGAATGTAAAAGGTCCTAACGATGAGTTGGAGCCCATAGACAGCTGGCTCATTACCCAAGGAATGGTGAGGATTTCACCAGAACCACTGTCCCCTCATGATGTCCTCTCAGCCCTGACCTCAGTCCCTTCCCTTACACCTCCACTAAAACACACACACACAGTAAAAGGGAGAGCCGCTCTCTCAAAAGCCTGATTTGATTTGCGGAGGAGCCGACTTGAATGTGTTAAGAGATCAACCAAAAATGTTTTCTCCCTCATGTCATTCCAAACTCCTATGCTGGTTTTTTCCATCGAAGCAGCTCTTTCTATTAGGGCTGGGTATTGACACAAATTTAACAATTCGATTCGATTTCGATTCACAAGCTTGCAATTCGATTCGATTTCGATTTTATTCAATATTGATTATTTTGGATATCAGGTACAATACATGGCAAATTTTCTCAAGGAAAACTAATGCTGTAAACTATGGGAGTCAGTTGTAGCCCACTAGGCTTCATTAGCCTACTATAATATTGAAGGTAAAAATTAACTGATTTGTAGCTATACAAACACTTAAATTACACTTTTATTTATTTTTATAATAATAAAGTTATATGAAATATAAACATTTAAATGGTGGCTGTCATAAAAACTTGCCAGATTTATTCAAACATGCATTAAATATCGAAGAACATTAAAAATTATAATGAATATGTAATATGGTGCATATATTTAGCAAAATGCTCCTCTCTAGAGTTAATTTTTCTAGCTGACTAACGAGTTTATGGTCACATATGGTTTTTCTGAGGTAAATGTGACGTTACATGACATTGTTTACAAGCTGTTTTACTGACGTCTTTCCACGCTTGAAACACTGATTGAGCGATTCCATGTGACATTATATGGATTTCAATAAGTTGTACTCTATCTTTTAACACACTTTCAGACGTTCATTCATGTTTATTTGGCGCTGTAACTGGTATTATTAAGGTATTATTATTATTATTACTGCTGCTTCTCTTGAGCTGAGCCAGAGCGATCTCACGCCACAGCGCCAAAACGCTATTTATGTTTTTGAATTTCGGAAGAAAATGGACGTAATTTGAAATTTGAGACTTTATTTAGTATCAATAGTAACAAAGCACAAAGATTATTGCGATTTATTGGATGGGATGCGCGCTACAATGTTCCATTCATTCATCAAATGAAAACAGAATGACTAATCGATTCTTGAGATTTAAGAATCGATATCGGTTCGGAAAAATGAGAATCGATTAATATCGAGAAATCGATATTTTTTACCCAGCCCTACTTTCTATACAACGAGAGTTCGTAGTGACCACAAAAGCACCATGAAGGTTTTGAAAAGACCACTTTTTTTTTCTTCGTTGTATGGAAAGAGCCTTAATGGTCAGCATCTTTTTTTTTTTTTCTCGACATCTCTGATCTCTAATAACTCTTCTATGGTTCCAGGGCCGTTTCTAGGCTCTTCTCTTTGCTCTGTCCCTTTTACTGTGAATCACCTCATCACCTCATTTCCATCGCAAGAAGGAAACACCAATGCTGTGTCCGAAATCGAAAACTTGCCTACTATGTTGTATGTGGGAAAACCAGTAGTATGTCTGAATATATAGTACTCGACAAACAGTACGCGAAAAGTATCCGGATGAGCTACTACTTCCTGAAGTGTGTATTCAATGGACACTTTACTATCCCAATAGAAGTGAGGCGACGCAACTGACGCTGGTAGGTCACATGACAGTAACAACATTTCGGATGTAGTACGTCCAAATTTCATTCATGCTACCTATATTCATACTAGAGCATACTTTTTTAAGTCGGAAAGTATATTCAAATTCAAATGTAGTACTTATTCAGAAAGTATGTGATTTTGGACGCAGCACTACTTTTTTTCAGGGGAAAATCAGTAGAATTCATCGTCATACACTAGCCAGACCCTGGACTCTAACATGAATTAACACGATCATAATCATGATCATAATCAGCCCTCGGCTCATGGAAGGTTCTGGATCTTGTATTCTGTACACGTTTTAAGAGACGATCACACCTGATAGAGGTTTGCAGGAAGAAAGTCCCCAAAAGGCCTTCTTTTTCATTCACTACGTTTACATGTGCTCCAATAATGTGATTATTTCCAATAATCAGAGCAAGGACTTTATCACAATAAAGCAAACGCATGCAATTTTCATTATTCTCATTACTCACCGTGAATTGTGGTTATTTTTATTTACATACCCCAATGCACAGAAAAACACATTTCTATGGACGTATTTGCAGTGACGCACCTAAAATCTCTTCATTTTGATGTTTCGATCATCAATAAACTGTATTATATTCGTCGCGCAACATCGTTAACATGAACTCAGACCCCAAGAATGTGATGCCATTTACGTTTACAAATCTGCACATGAAAATGCCATTCGTGTACATGCATGGACTCTTTGATCAAAGTGGAAGAGATGCAATTCAAATATTTACATGCCTGTTTATTACGATTAAAAATGCCATATATTACTGAAGTTACGTGAAGGCCATGGCAACCCATTCTTTGGAGTTTGTCCTCTGCATTTAACCCATCCAAGTTAGTGCACACACATTAGGAGCAGTGAAAACACACACACACTGCAAACCGTGAGCACAGCCGGCGCCCGGGGAGCGATTGGGGGTTAGGTGCTCAAGGGCACCTTTCCTGCCGGTATTGAGAATCGAACCCGCGACCTTCGGGTTACAAGTCTGACTCTCTAACCCAGTTGTGTAGAACACAACTACCCCCAATTATGGCTACTGCAATTATGAGCTTATTCTCATCAATTTGATTGAAGTATTGCGTTTACATAAGGTAAAGTTTAATCGCAATAATGCCTAAATCTCACTATAATCGCATTATGAGGTTGCATGAAATGACGCAGCAAAGTTTAACATTATGCAAATGAGCTGCAACACGATCTGACGACTACCAATAGGAATTATGGAGATCCTACACTCTTTCCCCTCAAGAATGTTAGTTTTTAGTGGCAATCACCCCATGTGGGATCAGTTTTGCCAATTGTGAAGCCCATCAATAACTTTAGGGCATCCAGCAGTATGAACACTTACTTTTACCAAAAATACACTTGTAAGAAAAAACTAAGATTTTTACATTTCTCTTATGATTACCAAGGCTGCATTTATTTGATATAGTAAAAACAGTAATGTTGTGAAATATTACAATTTAAAATAACTGTTTTCTATTGCAATATGTTTTAAAATGTAATCTATTCCTGTGATCAAAGCTGAATTTTCAGCATTTTACTCCAGTCTTCAGTGTCACATGATCCTCCTTATACGAGGATTTGATGCTCAACATGTATTATTATTATCAATGTTGAAACCAGTTGTGGACAATTTTATTTAGGATTCTTTGATGAATAGAAAGTTCAAAATTACAGCATTTATTTGAAATGGTAAAGATACGTATAATGTTTTCTGTCACTTTTGATAAATTGTATGCGTCCTTGCTGAATAAAAAGTATTAATTTCTTTAAATACAATCAAAACCTTCATGTGGTCAAAACCTTTCCTTCATAATCTTCATCCTCTCTACTATTAAAACTACCCACTTCACCTATTATTCTAAGCTGTTCTGTTCTAACAGATTTATCTTAACCAAAATAAAAAAATAACCAAATATTGTAATATTATGTATCACCTCCTCATTCTCTATTATTACTGTTCCTCATGTTATGATACTAGTTTAATCACCAACACTTTGAAAGACACTAATGGATGAATGGGAATTATGTAGTGACAACAATTTTTGATTTATTTTTACTCTGTCTAGATTTCAGATTTTGCACTCACTTTATTTTCACACACTTTATTCTCTCGACCAACTTCATGAGGAACATCCTGAGCTGAATTTGAAACAGTATTGAAGAAGTTCACATGTATACTTGCTGCTACTCTTTCTCTACCTATTCCAACAAAACCCCCAAAAAAACATACATTTTAGTTTTGTAAAGAAATTCATTCATTGGCACAATTTAAATTTGTCCACAAAACTAATTTATTATTTGTGTCCAAACTTTGGACTGGTAGTATTTAAAGTGCCCCTATTATGCTTTATTTTATTTTATAGATATTGTCTTTCATGTAGTGTGTAATATAGCTGTTTGTGAGTGTAAAAGATCTGCAAAGTTTCAAAGATCAAACTGCACAACAAATAAAGTTAGTCTCCCAAAAGAAAACGATTCTGAACTGCCTGAAACGAGTCATCAGTAATTCAGTCTTACTTTCTTAATAAACCTACATTGGTTTGTAACACATTTGAATGATGCCAGCCTATGGTCTTCATTGGCTGCTCTAGAACAACGTCTACTTTGACCCTCAAACACTGCAGTTGTTGCTGAGGCCTGGAAGAGATTTGGTTCGTGTTGTTGACATGTCGAGAAGATGCTGTTTTCTGCTCTGAAAATGCACTCTGTCTGCACTTCCAAAGGATGAGGACTCAGGCTAGAACTGATGCGGTAAAACCAACGCCATCGTTACTGTTCGTATCACTGTGATGCAAGTGCAGAGGAAGATCCAAAGCTGAATTTCAGATTTGGTTATGGGAGTTTAGTTTCTGACATGTGGTGTAAATGGTAGACTAATCACAACAGACTGGGCCATCAGACCAATCAGAGCAGAGTAGACCAATCACAACAGACTGGGCTATCAGACCAATCAGAGCAGAGTAGACCAATCACAACAGACTGAGCCATCTGACCAATCAGAGCAGAGTAGACCAATCACAACAGACTGGGCTATCAGACCAATCAGAGCAGAGTAGACCAATCACAACAGACTGGGCTATCAGACCAATCAGAGCAGAGTAGACCAATCACAACAGACTGGGCTATCAGACCAATCAGAGCAGAGTAGACCAATCACAACAGACTGGGCCATCAGACCAATCAGAGCAGAGTAGACCAATCACAACAGACTGGGCTATCAGACCAATCAGAGCAGAGTAGACCAATCACAACAGACTGAGCCATCTGACCAATCAGAGCAGAGTAGACCAATCACAACAGACTGGGTCATCTGATCAATCAGAGTAGACCAATCACAACAGACTGAATCATCTGACCAATCAGAGCAGAGTAGACCAATCACAACAGACTGGGTCATCTGACCAATCAGAGCAGAGTAGACCAATCACAACAGACTGAATCATCTGACCAATCAGAGCAGAGTAGACCAATCACAACAGACTGAATCATCTGACCAATCAGAGCAGAGTAGACCAATCACAACAGACTGGGTCATCTGACCAATCAGAGTAGACCAATCACAACAGACTGGGCTATCTGACCAATCAGAGCAGAGTAGAGCAATCACAACAGACTGGGCCATCTGACCAATCAGAGCAGAGTAGACCAATCACAACAGACTGGGCCATCTGACCAATCAGAGCAGAGTAGACTAACCACAACAGACTGGGCCATCAGACCAATCAGAGCAGAGTAGACCAATCACAACAGACTGAGCCATCTGACCAATCAGAGCAGAGTAGACCAATCACAACAGACTGGGTCATCTGATCAATCAGAGTAGACCAATCACAACAGACTGGGTCATCTGACCAATCAGAGCAGAGTAGACCAATCACAACAGACTGGGTCATCTGACCAATCAGAGCAGAGTAGACCAATCACAACAGACTGGGTCATCTGACCAATCAGAGTAGACCAATCACAACAGACTGGGTCATCTGACCAATCAGAGCAGAGTAGACCAATCACAACAGACTGGGCCATCTGACCAATCAGAGCAGAGTAGACCAATCACAACAGACTGAATCATCTGACCAATCAGAGCAGAGTAGACCAATCACAACAGACTGGGCCATCTGACCAATCAGAGTAGACCAATCACAACAGACTGGGCCATCTGACCAATCAGAGCAGAGTAGAGCAATCACAACAGACTGGGCCATCTGACCAATCAGAGCAGAGTAGACCAATCACAACAGACTGGGCCATCTGACCAATCAGAGCAGAGTAGACCAATCACAACAGACTGAATCATCTGACCAATCAGAGCAGAGTAGACCAATCACAACAGACTGAATCATCTGACCAATCAGAGCAGAGTAGACCAATCACAACAGACTGGGTCATCTGACCAATCAGAGCAGAGTAGACCAATCACAACAGACTGGGTCATCTGACCAATCAGAGTAGACCAATCACAACAGACTGGGCCATCTGACCAATCAGAGCAGAGTAGAGCAATCACAACAGACTGGGCCATCTGACCAATCAGAGCAGAGTAGAGCAATCACAACAGACTGGGCCATCTGACCAATCAGAGCAGAGTAGAGCAATCACAACAGACTGGGCCATCTGACCAATCAGAGCAGAGTAGACCAATCACAACAGACTGAATCATCTGACCAATCAGAGCAGAGTAGACCAATCACAACAGACTGGGTCATCTGACCAATCAGAGTAGACCAATCACAACAGACTGGGCCATCTGACCAATCAGAGCAGAGTAGACCAATCACAACAGACTGGGTCATCTGACCAATCAGAGTAGACCAATCACAACAGACTGGGCCATCAGACCAATCAGAGCAGAGTAGACCGATCACAAAAGACTGGGTCATCTGACCAATCAGAGCAGAGTAGACCAATCACAACAGACTGGGCCATCTGACCAATCAGCAGAGTAGACCAATCACAACAGACTGGGCCATCTGGCCAATCAGAGCAGAGTAGACCAATCACAACAGACTGAGCCATCTGACCAATCAAAGCAGAGTAAACCAATCACAACAGACTGGGCAATCTGGCCAATCAGAGCAGAGTAGACCAATCACAACAGACTGGGTCACCTGACCAATCAGACGAGTAAACCAATCACAACTGACTGGGACATCTGGCCAATCAGAGCAGAGTAGACCAATCACAACAGACTGGGTCACCTGACCAATCAGACGAGTAAACCAATCACAACAGACTGGGTCACCTGACCAATCAGAGCAGAGTAAACCAATCACAACTGACTGGGACATATGGCCAATCAGAGCAGAGTAGACCAATCACAACAGACTGGGTCACCTGACCAATCAGAGCAGAGTAAACCAATCACAACAGACTGGGCTATCAGACCAATCAGAGCAGAGTAGACCAATCACAACAGACTGAGCCATCTGACCAATCAGAGAAGAGTAGACCAATCACAACAGACTGAGCCATCTGACCAATCAGAGCAGAGTAGACCAATCACAACAGACTGGGTCATCTGACCAATCAGAGCAGAGTAGACCAATCACAACAGACTGAGCCATCTGACCAATCGGAGCAGAGTAAACCAATCACAACTGACTGGGACATCTGGCCAATCAGAGCAGAGTAGACCAATCACAACAGACTGGGTCATCTGACCAATCAGAGCAGAGTAGACCAATCACAACAGAGTGGGCTCTCAGAAAGGAAAGGTTTAGAGAGACTGAATCCTTTATCGAACCATTTCAGACACTGAGAGAAAAGAGGTGATGCAGCAATGTATATAATTAGAAAATTAAAGTTTTTTTGTTGTTGTTTGTATGCACCTATTGTAGGAGACCTTCAAAACAAAATTAGGAACATTTAAAATAGCATAATAGGGACCATTTAAATGCTCTTCAATAAAGACCATCCGTTTCTGAATCTTGATCTCAACAAATACAGTAGAAGAAATGTCACTGCAAACGTCTTGTGGCTGTAATGCTTGATTGCGCAATAAAGTATCTAATGTGCGAAAAGTCCAACAAATAGCGCCCTGTAGGGGGAGCCCTTGTGCCGCTGTTCTGATGCTGATGTTAAAAAAAGCAACCATCTCTTTCATCATAATCCTATATTTCTATGGATGAAAGGCATTCGTTCTGACACACACATCACTGCATCTTTCCTTCAGCGTCCTTTCATTGTTCACTCTCACAGCATGTGAAACAGTGTTGCTCCAGCTCTATGTGCAAGCCGTGTGTGTGTGTGTGTGTGTGTGAGGCACGTGGCTCTCTTTGGCATTGATTGCATTTTTCTGTTGTTGTTATTTTCCTCTCAGACCTTCTGGTGATTTTTATTGTTTGTGTTTTTGTTTGTTCGGGATGTTTTTTTTTTGTTCTTTCGTGGCTTTCGGGGTCTTTGGTTTGTCCGTGGCTTTGCTCCATAGATCCCCGTACCGCAGTCCTCTGTCATGGATGACATTGAGGAGTGGCTCTGTGCCGATGTGGTGAGACTTCTTTACCTTGATTTCATTCTCTCTGTTTTTGTTTCCATGGTAACACCATGTCATCTTACTCACTTTCATTTATCCAAGTCCTTTTTGTTCTATTTTTGGATATATTTTTTTTTCCCTCCCTACCTCAGTAGTACTAATCATTCATTTCCACCAATCATGTTGTCAGTCTACCATATACCACCCATTCACATGATACTAATGAACATTAACTAGGGATAAATTATTACCAATTTAAGATGTCAGTTAAAGCTCCAGAACGTGTGTTGTTGGTGGTGTCGGAGCGTCTTCAGATGCAGATTAGAGTGATGCTGTTGAATGTTGCAGTTCACTGGTGACGGATGCTTTCGTTCATCTGTTGGTTATTGTGTTGTGTTTGTACTGATATTCAAATAATTGTGTGGTTTGTTGAAGTCAATAAATGTCATGTGATATATGTCAATAGAACAGTGTTGGGAAAGTTACTTCGACGAAAACTACAGGTATTCAGAATTAGTTCCGAGACGCAACTGAGCAATGTTTGTTTTTTAATAGCCAATACCAATTTATTGATAACCTACATAATTCTACCAAACAGAATTGCAGAAATTAAATAAAAAATGTAAACAATATTAACTCGAAATGTTCTAAAACAGCTAAATTTACCATCGCATTTACTGACAAAACTGATATCGCTAGTTTCGAAAATGGCCAAATAATTGATTTAATTGGCCTAGTTTAATTGGCGGGTAGTTAGAAATACTACAAGTTACTAAAAAAGAAGTAAATGCTATGAAGATATTTAAGCGGACATTTGGCTTTGGGTAATTGTTAGATAAGAGTATATAACTGTAGACTATATAACTATAAAACATACATAAGATTAAAAAAAAATCCATTTAATCAAATTCATCTTTGGCGGGACAAAGATTCATATTAATGGGCACCAAAATATTTTTTAAATGCTGGAAAAATCCTGATAATCAAACTTGAACACATGTTTAAAATTTTGGGTCAGTTTTTTTTTTTTTTTTTTTTTTTTTTTTTTTTTAAAGAAGTTAAAGGGATAATTCAACCTAAAATGAAGTCATAATAAATAACATTGATTTCCCCAATCTTCTTATTAATAGGACATTATAGGAGAATGTTTGGTCATATTACACTTCTGATTTGTTGTAAATATTAGCATGTTAATGAAAAAGCTAGATTATTAAAAAACAGCTGAGCTACTATCACAATGGATTTTAATGAATGCCGTCATTACTTTCAGTCAGTTGCTCCCCCAACACTGATCTGTCGTCATAAATAATGTGGAAAATGCATACGTATGTACTTTGTCTATAATAATGTCATGTTGTGAACTGGTTGTATTGCTGAATGGTAAGTAGTTGTTCGACTTGTTCATTCTGTGTTTGTGGCACAATGTGGTGTATAAATGATAAAAGTGACTGGTCTGACGTGTAAATAATGCTGTTCTCGTTGTTTTCTGAAACAGAAAGGGGAAGAGGCAGAAGAAGGAGTCACGAGTGAAGGTACAATACAAAAGCTAAATGTGTGGATTTTAACTGTTAAAGTCTAGCCTTTTGTGTTTCACTCCGAAATATATTTGTTCTATTACGGAAACATAAATTGTGTTGGAAATGCCGTTTCAAATTGACCAGTTGTACACAATCTACTACATGCCTTCTGTCGTGCGATTAGCCATGTTTCCATCCACTTGTCTATCAAATTATCTGAAGTTCGGTAAAAAACCTCATGCGAATAAAGCTGGTGAAAGTGTGTTTCCATCAAACGGCTTTAAAGCGTATAAGAACCTGTGCGTAATGGCGTCACATGCTGTTTTGCGATCAAATTGGTATATCGAATTGATTTGAGACATGTTAAGGTGTTTCCATTCATTTTCTCACCGAATTGCAACAACATTCAAGCCAACATTTGCGAACAAAGTTTTACTAGGCAAAATGGATCGCACGTTTCCATCCGCGTTTATCGCATAAGGCATATATCGATCAAGATAAAATCCGATGAGACCGATCGTATTTCATTTGAGTCGATATTCATGAAATTCAATCGAATTTTACTGTTTCCATAAGGCATTTTTCATTCGATATCACTTAATGCGGATAAAAACGTGTGGATGGAAACATAGCTATAGATAGCTTAAAATTGTTAAGCATGTAAAAGGCCTTTTAGTATCATAGTAAAACGTCTCCTTCAGGTCGTGGTTCACGTGTGTGTTCACTTTTTGATGTGAAATCTTTACTGATTTGTATAATGTAAACGTAAGAATACCTTTAATTTTGTTAGTACTATTTCATGATGAACACTTACTGGACTGAAGCAATATATTTATAAATCTTGTTAAAATGTGATTATCAAAAATGATCCATCAGGCTCTTGAATCTCTCAATCATCATCATTATATTGGATTGCATTATATGTTTAATACAAGACACACCACTTCGGTAGCCATTGTTTGTTTACACTCTTGTGAAGTCAGTCACTAATTCCGCCTTCTCGCCTAAAGATGGCAAGCTATGATTGGTCGGGAAGCAACGCGTAATCTGACGTGTTTCTTGTCCGCGACACAACGAGAATTTATGAGGCAAAATCACACAATCTGAGCAGACAAAAGGTCTCGCTGATTTACATTACAATCTATCATGATTTCATCGTACTTTTTGGTCGTAGAAGAATCCACCAAATTGCATATTTTTGCTCAGTTTGGGTGTCTGCATAAAACGAGTATGAGCTCCGTATTCTCGCTGTATCATACTCTATGACCCTGATGGATCAAATATGATAATAAACAGTTCCATTTAAAGGGATAGTTCACCCAAAAATGGAAATATAAGTCATTAATGACTCACCCTCATGTCACTCCAAACCTGTAAGACTTTCGTTCATCTTCAAAACACAAATGGAAGATCTTTTTAAAGGGATAGTTCACCCAAAAATGAAAATTAAGTCATTAATTACTCACCCTCATGCTGTACCAACCCCGTAAGACCTTCGTTCATCTTCGGAACACAAATTAAGATATTTTTGATTAAATCTGAGAGCTGGATCACTGCTACATAGGCTTCCTAAGGGAGTGAAACTTGACGGCCCAGAAAGTCATTGAAGAAAATGTTTAAATATTTAATGTGACTACAGTGGCTCCACTATAAGTTTATCAAGCGACGAGAATACTTTTTGTGCGGAAAACAAAACAAAAATAATGACTTTATTCGACTTCCAGAGATTTCCAGGACGCATGCGCGGGAACTGACGTTCTTCTTCTACTACACAGCGCGCGTCTTACAAGCAGAGGAAGTAGAAGAAGTGTAGTAGAAGAAGAATTTCGGCGTAATTTTTGTTTTTTTCTGCACAAAAAGTATTCTCGTCGCTTGATAAACTTATAGTGGAGCCACTGTAGTCACATGAAATATTTAAACATTTTCTTCAATGACTTTCTGGGCCGTCAAGTTTCACTCCCTTAGGAAGCCTATGGAGGAGTGATCCACCTCTCAGATTTAATCAAAAATATCTTAATTTGTGTTCCGAAGATAAACGAAGGTCTTACGGGGTTGGTACAGCATGAGGGTGAGTAATTAATGACTTAATTTTCATTTTTGGGTGAACTAACCCTTTAATGAAATCGGAGATATGTCTGCCCGTCCATTGACAGCCTACGCAACTACCACTTTGACGCCATTTTGATCAATGTTTATATGTGAATAAAAGACTAAATTAAATCTTTTTATCATATAAAGCGATTACGTCTCTCCAGAAAATTTGGACAAAACCGTTCACGATCCCTTTATGAACTTTTTGAAGCGTCAAAGTGGTAGTTGCACATAGATATAAACACTAGATGTCGCCTTGGGGTTCTAAACATGCTTCAAAACCGCCGCCATCTTGGAACAGGGGTCTTGTCATAGGAAGTAGCTAGGTAACGCTGAATTCATGAATGATGCTGGACTTTTGTGCTGCGTATGGATGTTTACACTAACGAAATCTAAAAACCAGACAGCAAGATTGTGAAATTTTGTAATTTTTTTTTAATTTCTCTGGACTCTATAATAAATACATGTCTGACCGTTGGAACGAACCAAAACAGCTAGAAAATCGCATTCATGACGATTAATGGTGATTTTATTTCCGTTAGACCTTTTCCTACATTGACGCTGATGAGGGGTTCCCCTGTTTCAAGATGGCGGCTCTATTGACGCATTCGTTCCAATGAACTGCCGTAGCCAAGGCGACATCTAGTGTTTATATCTATGGTAGTTGCATAGGCTGTCAATGGAGGGACAGAAATCTCTCAGATTTCATCAAAAAGATTTGTGTTTTGAAGATGAACGAAAGTTTTATGGGTTTGAAACAACACGAGGGTATGACAGTATTTTCAGTTTTGGGTGAACGATCCCTTTAAAGGCATCCGTTGTTCTCCTGGTGTCTCTTCAGAGTTCGACAAGTTCTTAGCGGAGCGGGCGAAAGCCGCGGACAAGGCTTCACCTCTGGCCGCTGGTGTAGAGACCAGGCCTCCCGTCAGCGCACCCAGCAGCAGCCGCAAGAAGACCGAGCAGACGGAGGACAATCTCTTTGCCTTGTAGAACTGACGGTTCAGCCCAGCGACCGCAACCATATTCCCTCCAACTTCCAAACGCTTGCTGATCTCTAACACACCTACCGATGTTCTGCGGCGGCAAGACTTCGGTCTAACATCCCCCTTCTGATAGAGCACTGTGAGAATCCTGCTTCAGTACTGCTTTAACCACAACCTTTAAGCTGAACGGCGCGATCAAGCGATGGCTTAAGCCGACATGTAGCCGCCGGAATAAGTCTCTTTAGAGAGCTCCTTCTTTTCGAATGACAGATGTGCAGTCGGATAGAGCTGTCTGGTTTCGTATTTATTGTTCAGAAATGAACCAATGGTCTTAAAGATCGCCATTCCGGTGAGGTTGAGGTTTCGTGTGGTGCATCCGTTCTTGTGTAGGGCTGAGTCAACTGTGGATTGGGACTCAATCTGTCCCCGTGGTAAATAGAGCAGGAACACATCATATCTCAGTCAGGCGTAGGAGAGACGACTCGTGCTTATGAGGGTCTGGTGAAGGATAATGGCCACGTTCTCGTAATCATCACGTGCAGATTACCAAAGACAGAAGAATAAGCTTGATTTCCATCGATTAAGGTTTTTGCTCAAATACGTCGACTCCAGTTGAGGTTGTCTAAGCCGTTATCTTTGAGGGCATTTTAAAGGGTAGATCTACAGAGCCCCGCACATGATTAAGCAAAAAGGAAATTGTATATCGTGGACATTAATTAACAATTCGTTCCCATGACTTACTAATATGTCGGCACGTTTTATAAATTCCTTCCCTCGTTTTAACTAAATTGTTCGCAAGATATAATAATTTGGTCCCGCGATTTACTAAATTGTGGCCGCGGTGTAAAATTTATCTTTCCTTGTTTTAGTTCAAATAAAAAACGAGGGAACGAATTTAGTAAATCGTGGGAATGAATTCTTCATTCAAGGCCATGATATATATATATATATATATATATATATATATATATATATATATATATATATATATATATATATATATATATATTAGGGCTGTCAAATGATTAATCGCGATTAATCACATCCAAAATATTTTTTTTTTTTACATAATATATGTGGGTGCACTGTGTATAATTATTTTTTATATATAAATACACACACATACTTGTATATATTTAAGAAATATTTTCATGTATATACTGTATAGATTTATATATAATTTATATTATATATAAATATAAATATTTTATATATAAATAATATTTTTTTCTTAAATATACATGCATGTGTGTGTATTTATATATACAAAATAATTAGACACAGTGCACCCACATATATTATGTAAAAAAAACTTTTATTTTGGATGTGATTAATCGCGATTAATCATTTGACAGCCCTAATATATAAATATATTTGTGTCTGCGTGTCATGTGCGGGGCTCTGTGTAGATCTGGGGCCTGATGTATAAACGTTGCGCACATACGTACGCACAAAAAAGGCATTGAAATGCGTGTACGCAATTTTCCACCTGCACGGGATTAAAAAAACTAATAAACTAGCCGTAAATATGTGTAGGGACACTGCACACTCTTTTACTGGTGCTAGTGAATTAATAAAGTAAACAGAATGATTTTTTTTTTTTAAGTTTTTATTTTGATATAGACATTTAGGTTAAATATGCCATGAGTTACGCAGTCATGAAATCATTATCCAGAAGTTGCAATATTTTTATATTAATTTCAATAGAAATTAAAAAGTATTTTATACCAATTTGATTGCATCTATAATGGCATTTATAGTCCGTATCTAATATTTTCTTTATGTCTTACCGTTAAACATGGTATCAGGTGGACGGGAATATTCATATGGAAATGATATGCAGATGAGGATATGTATAGTGTAAGCTCCTTATATGGTTATTTCGGGGTGGAGACGCATGTACGCATAATCTTCCGCTTATTGGGTTTTATAAAGGGAATTTTGCGCGTACGCACACTTTTAGGATGAAATCTACAGAAAGTTTTATACATGAGGCCCCAGGTGTCTACAGTGATACAAAAACATATGCATCTTAATTTTGATTATGATATATGATTTCCTGGAACAGGCTCATTTAAAAAAAAAATTAATAATTTAAATCAAGAAAGGTGTGGGTCACATTTCACCCCAAAATCAAAAGAAAATACGTTTTCAACATTGATAATAATAATACATATTTCTTGAGCATCAAATCATCATATTAGAGTGATTTCTGAAGAATCATGTGACACTGAAGACTGGAGTAATGATGCTGAAAACTCAGCTTTGATCACAGGAATAAATTACATTTTAATATATATTCACATAGAAAACGGTTCTTTTAAATTGTAATAATATTTCACTATTTTAACTGTATTTTTGATCACCTTGATTAGCATAAGAAACTTACCTAACTGTAAAATGTGTTTACACGACCAGCAGTGTTTACACTTTTCAGAGCAATTAACCAACTAAAATGAATTTATTGTTAATTCTAGCGTACTTACAGTTGACTCTACATGTTCAAACAAAGTATTTTAGCAACAAAATAAGAGTCTTCACGTTTACCTCGCAGTAAATGTCAAACTTCATTTGCTTTACACAATTTTCTTTTGTCTTGGGGTGAAATATGACACACATTTCTTCATGAGATCCACCCACTTACTGCATCCTTTTTTTTTATTGTCAGATTCCTGATTGATTCCTATAAGGAAAAATCCGCACATTCGGCAGTAAAGATGAATGAAAGTCTCGCTTTCTGCTTTGCTAGACCTAACCAAGAATTATATTCGCCTAATGGCTTTTGTAAAATATGTATCCATACGTATACATAAATGTGTATATACAGTAGGAAAGTGTGTGTATAGTACTAATGGTTTGTATTAACTTGGTGTAAATGTTTAAAAGGATACTCCACTTTTTTGGAAATAGGCTCATTTTACAACTCCCCCAGAGTTAAAATGTTGAGTTTTACCATTTTTGAATCCATTCAGATTCAAAAGCAGGCGTAATGATATGACGCAGCGCCTGAAAATAGGCCACCTTCAACACAACGGAACTATTTTCAGGCGCTGCGTCATATCATTACGCCTGCTGCACTCATGGTACGGCAGTGAAGTTTCTTGATTACTACGCAGGAATGTTTAAATAGGAAAAATATCGAAACTCTTCGGTCATTTTTTTTTTTTTTTAGAAATGCTAATGGTCTTGTCCACTTCGATGATGTATGCTAAGCTATGCTAAAAGTGGTACCGCCAGAACTGGAGATCGGCTGAATGGATTCAAAAACGGTAAAACTCTGGGGGAGTTGTAAAATGAGCCTATTTCCCAAAAAAAGTGGAGTATCCCTTTAAAGGTACATTATGTAACTTTTTTTTTCTTTTCTTTTTTGACATTAGCAAAATTGACAATACATCATCAATCATTCTATCAAAATGTGTTTTTGTCTTATCCTGATTCACTATTGTAAGCAAGTGTTTATATTTTAGACCTAGTGGGATGGATTTCGTGTGAAATTGCGTACATTGCTTGCGAAAAGAACGCGACATAAGAGCTCGTAATAAATAAAACAAGAATCAACATCGGCTCGGCTTTTCAGAGATGGCGAGAACTGAGGCGTTTGAAATGTCGTAAAGCGACGCGGATATGGCGTTTTTATTACTCAACAGTGGAGTAATTTATTTTATTGAACAAATAAAGTAGCTTATGTAGCTCTTTAACAGAGTTCATTATAAAGCATCATCTATTGTGAAGCGTCATTTCATCCGCACAGTCACGCAGAGCCAAAGCACAACCCAAACAATTTTCTTCCGCAAAATGCGTGCAGTTTTGTTTTTTAACCACTAGAGGGCCAAAAGTTACATAGTGCACCTTTAATTGCATCCCTCTTTTTTTGTGTGTGTGTGTGTGTGTCGTCATGAAAGATTTTCCACGCGATTTCCTCTCCATTCCAGTCGCTAACAGCTGTACCGTACAGTTTTAATCGTGCTACATGTCGGAGTGAGGTTAATGTTTGAAGGAAGATGTGCACTTTCAGTCTTATATGTTTATGTAAAGTTAACTGCAGCTAGATGCGTTTCACAGTCAAAGACCTCAAATGTTAAAGAGCAAGAGCTTGAACTTTGTTAATCGAAACCTGTTGCAAACAATCCACCGTTTGCCCTAAATCTGTCGAATCAGCAGTTAAATGTGTGAAACACTGGAGGAGTGTGTATGTGCTTTACTTGAATTGAAGGTGTAAGTCACTGGCTCTGATTGAAAGGAAATCGCAGCATGTTCAGAGCAAAGTCAATAATGGCGATGCGTTTCTTAACCAAGGCCATTCGAGATATAGCTATGAACAGCATTAATTGACGTTAATCTGCGATATCTATTTTTGATTTCTGACTTCTGAAAGTGTAATATCTGCTTGTTCTGAAGAGCTCTGCTTTCATCATTATTTGGATTTACTGCTTCGATGAGTGTTGCCATCGTGTGACATTAAAAGTCTTAACTCTTTTGATTATTTACCTCATAATGTCTCAAATGTATTTTAGAATAATGACATGTAATGAAGTTTCCTATTGTCAGATTTATTGTTTAATCCAAACTATTTTATTAAAGTGATTCATTTGCTTAATGCAAACATTTCCCTGCGTGATTCATTTTAACGAGCAGATCTAATAAATCTTCCATCATTGTAAGGTGAGCTTTGAAAAAAAAGTACATTTAACTATTTATTTATTTTTTTTACAGCAAAATACATTGTTCAGTCTTACTGTCAGTTGAGCTTTTCGGCCGCTTCCACGAGGTCAACATGTCAAACTATACATTTTAAAACTGATAAATGGAAAAAGTAGTTGGCATGAAGTTGTGAAAATGACATTTTATTGTTTTATTATTATATTTGTTGCAGTTAAGTACATTTGAAAACAAATAAAAACGTTCAATGTCTATTCAGATTTCTAATTTTATTCTAATAAAAATATAACATGATAATTAGATCACAAATAAAAATGACACATTGTCAATGGTTATATTGGGGTAAGATGACAAACTTAAATCCTCTCTCTCTCTCTCTCTCAAAAAATAAAAATAATATATATATATATATATATATATATATATATATATATATACACACACACACACACACACACACACACACACTACTGGTCAAACGTTTGAAAACATTAAGGTTTTTTTAATGCTTTTGAAAGAAGTCTCGATATCACCAAGGCTGCATTTATTTGATCAAAAATACAGTAAACATTTAATACTGTGAAATATTATTACAATTCAAATAAACTTCTATGTGAATATATGTTAAAGTGTAATTTATTCCTGTGATCAAAACTGAATTTTCAGCATCATTACTCCAGTCTTTAGTGTCAAATGATCCTTCAGAAATCACTCGTGTGTGTGTGTGTGTGTGTGTGTGTGTGTGTGTAAATCATGATACAGTGCCATTCAAAAGTTTGGGTTAAGTAAGATTTTTTTAAAAAAGAAGAAAAAGATAAAAGAAATTAATACTTTTATTTAGCACATCCACATTAAATTGATAAAAAAGACCATAATTAAATTATTAAATATTACTAAAAAGTTATATTTATAATAAATGCTGTTCTTTTGACCTTTCCATTCATCATAGAATCCTGGAAAAAAAGAAAAAAAATTACAGTTTCCACAAAAATATGAAGCAACGTGAACGTGTTTAACATACATTAATAATAATCATAAATGTTTCCTTAGCACCAAATCAGCATGTTATAATGAGACATCGCTCTGGAGCGTCACCATGCATGCACTTTGTGATTCATAACTCCACACACAACTTCCCATATTATTCCAAAAACGTCCCTCTGTCTTTGATGTTTTTCTGAGACGGCAAAGTGCATTCGCTTAATTTTTGCTAATTTCCTGACCAGTAATTTGTGGTAAGTGCACTTAGTGTTTAGCCATTTTGGACAGCTGCTGAAGACCTCCATGGAGAAATGACTGAAGCCTCAGGACTCTTTGTGTGAGTGTGTGTGTCTTTAACAGGCAGACATGCACCTCACGAACATGCCATAATAATAACTACACGTATGTTCAACTTCAAGCTCCTTGGTTTCAGCCGTTTTCCTGCAGTCAGTCTCTGGTGTAACTCCCGGTCATTGACCCACTTCACTTCTGTTTGTTGTTATCTATGTGTGTGAGTTCACTGACATATAGAATGACTTAACTTTGTAAACACTATCAATCCATCCTGCTTCATATCTTGACCAATTTATGTATTTATATTCATTTTTTCGAGTGGATAGCATCAATTGTTCTTATATTGGATTTATTTAATTTGTTTATAAAGATATTTTTAGTTTGTTTCTTTCAATAAAAGCTTCGTTTTTATTTCAGCTTTTCATATTAATCCCCGTTCATATATATATATATATATATAATATATATATATATGTTATCCTTATTCTACGAGAAATACATGATGTAATCACGGAGCCACATGAGTGACGTCATATCACCCCACTCGCTTTCTGACTCCCAATTGGTTGGTTTCTCTGGTTCTACAGGCGGAGTCATCACTGCGGCTCAGACTAACCTGATGTCCTAGTGCCCACCTCTGCTCAACTCTGATTGGCTGACTGAGACAAGCCCACTGAAGCTCAGACCATGCAGTTGCCGAGTGAGATTTTGTAAACAAAAACGGGGGTGTATATTCAGCACTTTATAGTAAAAAATATATCGATTTCCTATTCTCTTTTAACTCATATTGACTCTCAGCGTAATAACTGGACAGGTCGAAAATAATTATGAACGTGTTTAAATAGCTTTGACACATTTATATAAATAACATACAATAATACTATAACAATAATACAAGTAAAAACAACAATGATACATCATAATAATCCAAACGCTACTCTATCTTAAATAAATAAAAAATACAGTAAAAAGTAAATCTCAAATAAGTGACTTTTTTGACAGTTTTATTTCAATGCAGGCCATGTGAAGGAGACTCGTCAACTAAAGGAGCGAGTTCTGATTGGTCGAGGGGCGTGTCAATCACCCACAGCCGTCTGGCTCTCGCTGCTAGCATGCTAATGTGCAAAGCAAACTCTTAAGTCAACTTTGCCTTGTGCGGCAGTATGGAAACGAACGCGAGCAGGTAGTGGACAGAATCAGCCAGAAAGTTGAGTTAGTCGAAAACCAAGTGGACGTGTCCTACGAAAACTACGCCAACAAATGCCCCGGCATATTTGCCTGCTCGATGAGTGCAAGAAGTTCCTAGTTTCCATGGAATACCGCTTGTTGTGTGAGTGAGTGATTTAATCTTCTGAAGCCAGCTTGAAAGAGCATTCGAGGACAATGAATCTGTCTTTTGACGACCCGTCGCTGGAAACCTTGGACTCCAGTATGTCTTTACATGATCCGAGTGATATTGACTCGGCTCTGCTCAGCGACATTGATGGTAAGAGCCCGCTTGTTTACACTTGCAGTGCTGTTTGGCAGGTTATATGGTTGGACGAAGTGAATCATGTGTTTGCAGACACACATTAACATTGATCGATGGTGCTGTCAGACGCATACACGTGTTTAAAATAACGATACAAGTGGAAAAACAAACATCTGTAATAAATGAGCTATTACATCTGCACTTTGTCGTCATATAGGATGCTTGTTTTGTTGTGTCGTCTTTTAAACATACTGAGCACATCTGATCAGGTGGTGTCAGTGAAGCTGGGCGTGTGTTACTTTTCTGCTTGGAGAACACATCTATATCACATCTATGGGTCCCTTATTTGCACGCATTGTATGTTAAATCTGATTAAAATGAGACTAAAATACAGGGTGTCATTATATTGTGGGCGTTTCATTAGAAGTTGCAGTGTGAGAAGCCCCGCCCCCTCCATCCTGGACTGGTGACGTTGCACGAGGTTACAATCGGCCATTCCCTTCCAACACACTTCTCTGAGAACTAGAATATTTAAAATAAAAAATAAAAAAATATTTTACACACACACACACACACACATATATATATATATATATATATAAAAACGCCATCAGTCCTGTATCACATACCGAAAAGCATTTAAACATATTTAGACACAATTTGAATATATCTGAAATTGTGTATTTATTTACATGTATGTCCTTTGCGTTATTAGACGCTTTAGTAATTCACCTTTGTAATGGTCAAATGGTCCACTCACAGTGAAGTGTAGTTGTCTGACCGAAAGTAAACCCCGCTGCTGAAGCGGACAGTGCCCGATAGTAACCTCTAGCGCGAGGCGCTTTCCGGGCCTCTGATTGGTCGAGCGCGATCACCTCATACAAACACACCGGCCGCCGCCATGCCTGTGCTCACTGATGGAGGCTAGTGTTATATGGGGTCACATGCATGGAAAACACCACTTTTGACCACTTCAGTTTTTTTTTTACATTGACTCTCCAGCAGAGTAACATCACTAACTTTATTATGGTTATTATTGAATGAGTCATATTGTTGTTATACTGGTTATACTCTGATTTAAGAAAATAATATCATGCATAAAATATTCAATTGTATGTGATATTTGTGCATAAAATACTTTTTATTTCCTTATTTCAGATCCCAATTATATGAACGTTTTGTTTTATAATTATTATTATTATAAAGATACTCTGATTCTGTTTTCTTTATCTCAGTTCCCAATATTATTCATGTATTATTTATTAAATTAAATTATTATTCTCTGATTTAAAAAAAAAGTATATTATAAAAAATATAATATTTGTGCATAAAATACTTTTTATTTCCTTATTTCATATCCCAATAATAATGTGTTATTTTTATAATCTAATAATAATAATTATTATTATACTGATTATAATCTGATTATTTGTATTCCTACATCTCAGATCCCAATATTTGTAATATATTATTTATTTGAAACATAATTCTACTCTGATTAATAAAAAATAATAACATGAATATTTGTGCATTTTTTTTCCTTATTTCAGATCCCAATAATAATGTATTATTTTATAATCTAATAACAATAATTGTACTGCTTTTCCTCTCATTATTTTCATTTCTTTCTCATATCCCAATATTTTTCAATGAATTAGTTATTTAAAAAAATATAATGATTTAAGAAAATAATAACATGAATAATATATTCAATTATATATTTGTGCATAAAATACTTTTTATTTATTTCTCTCAGATCCAAATAAGTATGTGTTGTTTAATTAAAATGTGATGATGATGATGATAATAATAATGCTTTGTTCCGATAATAACAAACTATAATGTACAAAACCCCTTTCATTTCAAGATGTTGAATTAATTTGTGCCTTTTAAGGCCTGTACACACCGGGACGAATATCGGCTCGCGTTATTCGTCAGCGTTTTTCAACGCGTTTTTTGTGTTCACACCCAAGCGATTTTCGCTGACGATGAGCCGAGTGAACACGCAAATTCATTCCCTGACATTAGATGGCGCTTAATGTAAAACAGAAATACCCCGGTCCACAAAGTGGCGCTGCGCAACTACGCTTCTGACACTCGCTTGTCACTCAGAAGAAGAGAGCAAGTTTGTCGCGTTTGTTATATGGTTCTTTATTGTCGTTGGTGTCTCTTTATAAAGACACCAACAAGACCAGCAGCTCTACTCATCTAGCCTTACATCTTCCTCGTCTTATTTCTTCCCGGCAGAGTGTAGACGCTGTATATCTTCTTCGCCATTACGTATGTGTGCTCGGCAAGACCGTTTTGTGTTTGAGCGCCCCCAAGTTGTGTTTTACTGTAACTTCAGAAGCTCCAGACACGTGAGCAAAAGCGCCAATCTCATTGGTCGGATAGTTTTTGACGCGGCGCGTCAAACCAAAAAAACGAACCCGAGGCGTTTTTAAAAAAATGACGCTTTTACGCGTGGCGTTTTACGCGTTGGTGTGAACACTCACATTGGCGCCCTTTGTTTAGTCACGAGGCGTTAAACGTCGGCGAATAACGCGCGCGAAATTCGTCCCGGTGTGAACAGGCCTTTAGGGTGTGTGTCTAAAGTAAATCGCCTATTTAAAATCAAGATAATTCAGGATCATTAACATGTCATTATGCTGGCATAATCCCGATAAATGGTCACCTACTATTATTAGGCTATTAATTATCGATATTTTGACTGTTTTTGAGGTTCATAATTAATAGTTTAGACATGATTTCCTCTCATGTGTGTGTTTTATTCATTGTGAAGCGCAGGATCTTGACCGGTTCTGTGCGAGAGGAGTCGCACTGAATGATGTAACTCTGTAATGGGTCACTCTGCAGTCAGATCACCGTCTCCATCCTACAACTGAGTGAAAGCCAGCCATGGCTTAGGTGGAAGAGTCACTGTGTGTGCTCTGTGGATCCACAGATCTCAGTCGCTTTGAAATTGGGGGTTTGTGGTTGGTCCGTTCACCACAAGGCCCTCTAAAGCCCCCTAAGGACGCCCCTGTTGCTCACTGTGTCCGTCTATTTCCATGTTTCAACAGATATGCTCCAGCTTATCAACAACCAGGACATGGAGTTTGTGGGTCTGTTCGATCACACTTCGTTTCCTGGTCCCGCAGCCCCCCCTCTCTCCAGCCCTTCCTCTCCTCCACCCGCCTCCTCTACGCCCACCAACACCTCCTCCATCCTCAGCAGCAGCCCGCACCTGGACGCCCTGCTGGGCCCCCCCATCACCCGCAGCGCCTCCGTCCCGGACAAGGTGTTCCTCCCTCCCACTTTCCAGCAGTCTCCTCTGGCACAGGTGAGCTCCACCCCTGCCAACCCCGGGACACTGCAGACCACGCAGCCCAAAGCTCAGCCCGCTCCATCTCCCGGCCTCCAGCCGTCCCCCCCGGCCGGGAAGAGCCCGGTGTTCGGCGTTACCCAGCAGGTCCTCTTCAGCTCACCGCAGCCGCAGCCCGTGGTCACCTTCCCCATCCAGAACGCTTATACTGGTGAGTTTATATTAGCTCCATGCTTCTTCAGTGTTTCGGAAATATGTGCAGGACCCTAAACATAATTTACCCCCAATTATATATATATATATATATATATATATATATATATATATATATATATATATATATATATATATATATATATATATATATATATATATATATATATATATATATATATAATTTCCCCCCAATTTTATATATATATATTTTTTTTAATTATTCAAATTCAATTCCATTCAATTGTAATGTTAAATAAATTTTTGGATTTATTTTTCTATTGAGATTTTTCGTAATTCTTTTTTTCTTTTTCCGGTTTATATTTTTCTGGATACCGTTTTAATGGTTAAATAAAATAATTAAATATTTAGTAATCAGAAAGCATGTTTAAATAATGAATCTTAAACTTTTAATAAATTGTTCAATTGTATTAAAAATATATATATATTTAATTTTTAAGGCGCCATGAAATCCGTTTTATTTTTTCCTCAATTCCATTTTAATGGTTTCAATTTTCTTAATCATTTGTTAATCAAATAAATTGAGTTCTTGAAACTTGTAATAATTTATTAACCTTTTCTTACAACAATAAGGCCCCATAAATGTTTTACATTTTCTGGATTTATAATTTAATACCAATTTATTAGCAAAAACGGCGTTAAAATCAAAAACATTAATCTGCTAAAATGTAATCAAATGAACATGTAACAATTCTTTATTTTATTTTTTTGGCAAACAAAGTTCTGCACGACAGAGGTTTGCTGATAAATGTAAAAAACATGTTAAAAAAGTGTGCAATTCCTTAAATAAAGATTTATTTATTATTACTTTGAGAAGTACATTCTACTGTAGTACATCATTAAGTTAAACCAAACTTTTATTTTGACGTGTTTATTGTGGTGAAGACACTTGAGTTTCTGTGTGTATCTGACGACAGTTTTAATGAAGTGTAATGAAATTTTAATGAAGTGACTCTGCTCTGGAGATATATTGAGACAGCAGATCATTCTGCTTCATTATGTGTAGTAGACGAAACTGAGATACGCAGAACATGCAGACTTCAGATAACAATAGCAGTCTTTTTGCAGTTTAATGTTCACAGACACTAGTCCACATCGAGATTTGGTTCATTCGACAGCCCTGCTTTGGATTTATGCATCCGAAAATGGCCTAATTATGCGATATTCCGCCTCATACTGTAAATGCCATGATTATGACTGGATTACGTGATTACGTCTGTTTTCTGCATTGTGAAAATCATAGGGCCCCACAAATGTGAAAGATAAAACTCTGTCATTCATGTGCAAGAGAGCTACTAGTGAACACAAAACGTATCTCTCTTACCATAAGTGTGTCAGTTATCTATTGGCCCTTCATCTCAAAGGGTGTAAATCACCGTTAACTGATAAGCTAATTGGCCACACTTTCTATTACGTGTCTTTAATATGTAACTACTGTGTAACTAAAGCATCTGATAGAATGTGAGGAAGGTGACTTTAATAAGACCATCCTGATGTTTTACATGATTTCTTAAACCAGTAGATCTCCGAATAGCCTTCCATTAAAGTGGGTATTAAATTGTAAACTTTTTAATAATAATGATTTTTAACAATTTAAAATAATTCAATTTCTCACCCCAAAAACCTTTGAATGATACAGTAGCATGTTAGGGGCCACTTACTGTGTTCATACATACTGTGGTCACTCTCTAGTTGAAAAATAAAAAATATATATTGATGAATGAAATCAGAACATTTAAAAAAAAAAAAAAAAATGGCTTGACAAACTGACATTTCGTTTTTCAGTCTTTAGTTGGACTACGCCTGCGTAATACTTGCAGTACCTGATTCCTATCCAATGAAATATTGATGAACAAAGTTATACTGAAACTTTCAAATATAGTCTTAGTAAACTGTGTTTGGCTTGGCAATAGCGGTTAAATCAGCTTGAGCTAAGCATTTATTCTACTGTTATCATAGTTTCATAGTGTTTATACTAGTTTCTAATCCGTTTAGTCATGAGTCATGACATATTGGATTGATTAGATATGTGCTTTTATGAAAGTGTGTGTCTTGACTCATGAAAACTTTGTGATTATGTAGTCTTCACATGAGTAATGCACATGACGACTGCCACTATTAAAATGCATCACCTTTGACCAGTCTCATCATGTCAGCAGATCCTTTCAGGTAGTTGTGATCCGCTATGAAAGGGCGATCTGAGTTCAAGGTGCAGACGGAAGTCCCTGTTGTCAGTCCTGGAAACCTAGTGACCTTTTATCGTACTTCGTGTTCATGTGTAAGAGAAGCCCGCGCACATTCTTTCATTGCAGATGCTTTTATCATTGCGTTTCATTCTGCTTATCGTTGCGAGGCTTGGGTAATGTCTCCCCCGGGTCAAAGAGAAAAGACAACATCACACTAGCGTAGATCAAAGTTCAGTCCGGGTGAATTGAGTTATGAATTTCTGTTGTTACAGTAAGTGACCCTCTGCCTGCCCCCTTACTGTTATTATTATTACAGAAGCAAGCTTTACAGAACATCCAATCAGGAGAAACTGGAGATTTCTGTGAACAGCTTGATTGCTCATAAAGTCTAAAAAAGTGATTAGTTTGTTCAAGCACACAAGGAATGCCAGGACTTAACAGAAATGCAGGATACAGAATGTAAAAATTAAAGCTATACAAAAATACGGATTACATAATTTATATAAATACTTAAGGACAGGGGTGGTGCACTGTAATACCAGTAATACTGGTTTAAATGCCACTACCGTACCGGTTTTCTGTGTGAAAATAGAAAATCCGGGTCTCAGATAATATGCAAATAAAGGAGCCTTCTTTGGAAAACAGTCTCGACTAGTCAAACCACGAACGACGTGCTAAGTGAGCTGAACTGTATGAATGGCGTTCGTGGTTTGATTAGTCGAGACTGTTTTCCAAAGATGGCTCCTGTCTGTATACACGAAGTGGACTGTCTTCATAAAATATCTTCTTAATTATTAAACGGTCTGTACACTTAAAAAGTTCTCAATGCTTCGTTTTGCATGTAGGGACCCTCATTATGTTACTGTGTTAGTGTGGGGCTATTTTGAGCCTTGTTAGTGGTATAAACTAGCGATTTCTTTTTACTTATTATATGCCCCCATTACTAGCGTTATACGCTAAACAGTTTTTAGAGATAAAACTCTTTACATTCGATTATCATGAAAACAAATCTCAGGGAACGGTTGACTAGGTACCAATGTTTTATTAGACCAAAGGTTCATTTTGCGCCGGAGTTCTCCTTTAATGTCGTCTTGCGCTTGAACAGACATATTCATACAAAATGATGTCAAAAAATGCCCGTCACTGGTAAACATAGGCCTAATCGGTTATGTCTTAAAGAAATGGAAACGGTTGAGAAGGAAAACGCACGTGTAACATTATATTGGATCCGTGCATTCGGTCTTAAAGTGACAGCAGCCTAATAATCTGTTTTTAATGTTAATCAAACAACAAAGGTGAAAAAAATCACTCACTGCTCTTGACTGAATAACTTTTGTAACTTTAATAAGGATTAATCTGTGAAGACTATGCAGTGTTATTTTTTTACATTTGATTACTTTTTAAGTTTCTATTTATGAAAAGGGAATTTTCACTGTTACCTAAAAGGTTGGTTTGTTTTTGGCAAAAATAGTTTCATGGCTGGTAAAAAAATATTTATGGCTGGTAAAATTTAAGTCACCGCCCATTGGTAGAGATGTGGCAAAAAGTTAGTTTTAGGCCCTAGACATACATGATAAAAGAGAAACTGGCAAACAACAACATTTGCTAAGACCGGACTGGTGAGTAACGGCGTTTGGTGAAGACTGCTGTGACTGAATCTTAAACTCTTCTTGAATATGACAGCTTGTTCACATTTCATCAGATTTCAAACAGTGGTAATATTGCCTCAAGTGGCAAAGGGTGGTTATGATTTCTGCTTTAATGATCTTTGTTGTTTTCAGTTGTTGTTTTTTTTTAAGAGTTGTAGGGCACGTTTACACGACAACGATGTTCTAAAAGCGGTCGTTAAGGGAAGTTTTTCCTTTGCATTGTCCACGCAGAGGCGACGACAACGTTGTCAATACCACCCTCGTTCTCACGGATCGGTGGAAACGACTAAAAACGCTGTATTATTCATGTCAGGCCAGTAGTAGGCGATGTCACTTTGTAAAGAAACACTGCGCGGTTTCACAAATTCACGTCGTTTTTGTAGTTTATACTTAGACGATAACGGATTTCGATTTCAAAAACTTGCACTTTGAACAGTTTTTGTTTTCAGTCGTCGTGTAAACGAAGGGCCAAAACGCATGAAAAGTTTTCCATTTTTAGTTGAAAACAGTGTAGTGTAAATGGCCCCTTAGTGCGATTTCTTGCCATTTCTTTCCTCTCATGATCTCATTGGCTCTTGCAGCTGTCACTCAGCAGAACTCTCCTCAGCCAATCCCGAATCTCCCCGCCTCCCCACAGAATGTTCAACCAATGGCCATCCAAGCACAGATGCAGAGCCTCTCGGCTTCACCAATCCTGACCACCGCCTCCAGCCCACCCACACAGACAATCTCCCCTCAGGTTCAGCAGGTTCCCGTGAGTGCTTTTATTGACCCACTAACTCCCCACATGCCCAATAATTTGCATATTACAGCCAAGCAACCTTTTATTGTGTGTGCTGAGCGTTCTCCGTGTGTTTCGCAGGTTTTGTTGCAGCCGCAGTTCATTAAGGCAGACTCTCTCTTGCTCACTACTCTGAAGCCTGATTTGACAATGGTAACAACAGTAGCTTCACCCTGCATCACAACGCTGGCTACATCCACTGCCCCAATCCAGAACACCTCACTACAGGTACACAAACACAGCAAGAGCGCGACAGTGCCAGCGCCTCACTAAAGATAGATGTGTGCGGACTGTGAAATGTATCTAGGAGCATGTATATGCATAGAAAAGGGTTCTTAAAGGCCTAAAAAATTCAGCTTCTTAAATGGTAGAACAAAATGTCTTGAGGGGATGGAAAAATGGGAATCGAGATATGGCCTAATGGGATTAAACTTCAAACTTCACATTTCAAAGTAAAAATGTGGCACTGTCGTGTGTTTTTTTTTGCGAATGAGCTATTGTTGATGAATGATGACATTATTGACTTATGGTGTTTATATTGTAATATGTTATAGATGGTTGTAAGAGTGCATAATATACTAAATCATAGACATTTCACATTTAAGAGTCCCGTGTATTTCAGAATTTTTTTATAATTAAAAGTACTGCATTATGCAAAGGTTTTTTTTCCCCTGGTTATTATTGGTATTTTGGTTAATACAGTTTATTGTGCAATGTAAACAGGATGGAAAGACTAAGAACATTTTTGAACCAATATTATTCAATTTATACACTGGCCCGGCCCAAAAACAAAAGTCACTGTTTGGATGTTTACAATGTTTGTCAAATTGTGAAAGAATGGTTGATGGAAATAAATGTGTTGATGTTATTTCCATCAAGAGGTGCATACATTTTTGGTCCAGATCTTGTATTGACAGTGCAAGAGTCCAGCACTCTGTAAAGTCTCCTCCAGCACATCCCAAAGACTTTCAATGAATTTAAGTGCCAATTCTTGTGTGAAAATGATTCCTCATGCTCCCTCCCAACCATTATTTCACAATTTGAACCTGATGAATCTGGACATTGTCATCCTGGAATATGACCATGATGTGTCTTCCTACATTGTTTAAGAAATGAAAGCTACACACACGCCATCAGTTAGTGTTAGAAGAACTGTCGCCAAACATAAAACATGCTAGGAACATATGAATCACTGCAATAATGATCCAATCACAGACTCTTAAGCATTTGCCTTTAAGCATTTAAATCCAAAAAGCAATATTTTTGGCTGGGCAGTGTAGATTTTAGTAGTATCAGCACAATAATTTGTTTATTTACATAATTATTCAATTCAATTGGTATTGAAAAGTATTGAAAGACCTACCGGTAATGTAAATTTTGCATTCTAAATAACTTTGCTTGTAAATGTCTTTCCTTTATCAAGGAAAAACACATTATTTGATAAATATTCATTGCAAACAAACGTTTTTTTAATGTGCTCCTACATTTTTTAACTTTGAAATTGAGCCCATTGAAATTTGAGACATTTTCGCCATACAAAGTTTAAAAAATGTCTCAGATTCGCTTCAATTTATTGCTCTGTTCTTGGTGTAAACTGGCCGTCTATCGAATTGTAGTGCTATACGTCAATGTTCAAGACATTTGATCTTAAATGTCACATCTAAACCTTGCCAAAGTTAATTAAATAACGTAAATTCTTATTTTTAGTTAAAAAGGCTCTCACATTACATTTAAGGCATTTCTGAAGACCTCAGTTTTTATTTTGTCGACCTGTATCTCTCTCATCTCAGGCGCTGATGAGCGGAGGCACCATCCTGACCACCGTTCCACTGATGGTGGACACTGAGAAACTGCCCATCAATCGCATCGCCATCAGCGGGAAACCGGGCGGCCTGCCACATAAGGGCGAGAAACGCACCGCCCATAACGCCATTGAAAAACGCTACCGCTCCTCAATCAACGACAAGATTATTGAGCTCAAAGACCTGGTGGCTGGGACGGAAGCTAAGGTAGACCCATTGTCTGAGAAAGTCTGGTTATTTAGTCACCAAGAGAAACTGCTCATGGTAGTGACCCTTGAAATTCATCTGAAAACTACCGGTAACCTGATGGAATGATCTAACTCAACCCAGATTTTGCAGCTCTTATCTTACCTGGAAGATAGTCTTAAGATGTCTTTGCTATCATTCTAAAATGAATATTCTCTTTTAAGCAGCTCAATAAGTCTGCAGTGTTGAGAAAAGCCATTGACCACATCCGCTACCTTCAGCAGTCCAACCAAAAACTAAAGCAGGAGAACATGGCACTCAAAATGTCCATCCAGAAGAACAGTAAGCTCACCTTCAAAGTCAACATGAGATTAAAATGGACCCCTTTTACATTCATAATACATGTACTTGATGAGTTGCTCCAACTCTGAAACGCCACTATTGGCTAATGTTAACGTATCCAGAATGTTAAGGATTTAAATTAAGAATATTTATGTTAAGACCTTTGTGAAAATAGACACTTTACGGAAATAATATACGGTAATAGTACATACTTTTCGGACACTTAATTGCATGTTAATTGCAATTAAATGAAAATGTATTAGTTTAAATTAATATTAAATGCAATTAGCTGATCTTTTTTTGTTTACTTCAGTACACCTTTTTTATATGTAATGTCATAATTACTTCTATTGTTTTTTGAAATATGGTTAAAGTTACGGCTGAATGTACTGACACGCATTTATGGTAAACTAAAATAATCTTTAAGGACATTTGTAAAGATTAAGATGCAATTTACTACATTTTAAAATGTTAACTTGAAATGTAGTATCTAATAACACACTACAGTTAAAATTATACTTGGCATGCGTTAGTATGTTAGTCAACACATCAAAATAAGTGTACTTTAAATCACAACAGAAGATAATTAAAACATGATTTAAAATGTACTTTAAAATAAAACTTATTTGATGTTATTAAAGTGCACTTAAAGGGATAGTTCACCCAAAAATGAAAATTAGCCCATTATTTTCTCACCCTCAAGTCATCCTAGTTGTATATGACATTCTTCTTTCAGACAAATACAATCGGAGTAATATAAAAAAATGTCCTGGCTCTTCCAAGCTTTATAATGGCAGTGAATGGCCGTATATATATTTTATTGAAGTCCATAAAAGTGCATCTATCCATCATAAAAGTGCATCTATCCATCATAAAAGTGCATCTCTCCATCATAAAAGTGCATCTATAGATCATATCTAGATATAGATATTATCATGGAGAGATGCACTTTTATGATGGATAGATGCACTTTTATCATGGATAGATGCACTTTTATCATGGATAGATGCACATTTATGATGGATAGATGCACATTTATGATGGATAGATGCACTTTTATGATGGATAGATGCACTTTTATGATGGATAGATGCACATTTATGATGGATAGATGCACATTTATGATGGAGAGATGCACATTTATGATGGAGAGATGCACATTTATGATGGAGAGATGCACATTTATGATGGAGAGATGCACTTTTATGATGGATAGATGCACTTTTATGATGGATAGATGCACATTTATGATGGATAGATGCACATTTATGATGGATAGATGCACATTTATGATGGAGAGATGCGCATTTATGATGGAGAGATGCACATTTATGATGGAGAGATGCACATTTATGATGGAGAGATGCACATTTATGATGGAGAGATGCACATTTATGATGGATAGATGCACATTTATGATGGATAGATGCACATTTATGATGGATAGATGCACTTTTATCATGGATAGATGCACTTTTATGATGGATAGATGCACATTTATGATGGATAGATGCACATTTATGATGGATAGATGCACTTTTATGATGGATAGATGCACATTTATGATGGATAGATGCACATTTATGATGGAGAGATGAGATGCACATTTATGATGGAGAGATGAGATGCACATTTATGATGGAGAGATGCACATTTATGATGGAGAGATGCACATTTATGATGGAGAGATGCACATTTATGATGGAGAGATGCACATTTATGATGGAGAGATGCACATTTATGATGGATAGATGCACATTTATGATGGAGAGATGCACTTTTATGATGGATAGATGCACATTTATGATGGATAGATGCACATTTATGATGGATAGATGCACATTTATGATGGATAGATGCACATTTATGATGGATAGATGCACATTTATGATGGAGAGATGCACTTTTATGATGGAGAGATGCACTTTTATCATGGATAGATGCACTTTTATCATGGATAGATGCACTTTTATCATGGATAGATGCACTTTTATCATGGATAGATGCACTTTTATCATGGATAGATGCACTTTTATCATGGATAGATGCACTTTTATCATGGATAGATGCACATTTATGATGGATAGATGCACATTTATGATGGATAGATGCACTTTTATGATGGATAGATGCACTTTTATGATGGATAGATGCACTTTTATGATGATAGATGCACATTTATGATGGAGAGATGCACATTTATGATGGAGAGATGCACATTTATGATGGAGAGATGCACATTTATGATGGAGAGATGCACTTTTATGATGGATAGATGCACTTTTATGATGGATAGATGCACATTTATGATGGATAGATGCACATTTATGATGGATAGATGCACATTTATGATGGAGAGATGCACATTTATGATGGAGAGATGCACATTTATGATGGAGAGATGCACATTTATGATGGAGAGATGCACATTTATGATGGAGAGATGCACATTTATGATGGAGAGATGCACATTTATGATGGATAGATGCACATTTATGATGGATAGATGCACTTTTATCATGGATAGATGCACTTTTATGATGGATAGATGCACATTTATGATGGATAGATGCACATTTATGATGGATAGATGCACTTTTATGATGGATAGATGCACATTTATGATGGATAGATGCACATTTATGATGGAGAGATGAGATGCACATTTATGATGGAGAGATGCACATTTATGATGGAGAGATGCACATTTATGATGGAGAGATGCACATTTATGATGGAGAGATGCACATTTATGATGGAGAGATGCACATTTATGATGGAGAGATGCACATTTATGATGGAGAGATGCACATTTATGATGGATAGATGCACATTTATGATGGATAGATGCACATTTATGATGGATAGATGCACATTTATGATGGATAGATGCACATTTATGATGGAGAGATGCACTTTTATGATGGAGAGATGCACTTTTATGATGGAGAGATGCACTTTTATGATGGAGAGATGCACTTTTATCATGGATAGATGCACTTTTATCACGGATAGATGCACTTTTATCACGGATAGATGCACTTTTATCACGGATAGATGCACTTTTATGATGGATAGATGCACTTTTATCATGGATAGATGCACTTTTATCATGGATAGATGCACATTTATGATGGAGAGATGCACTTTTATGATGGATAGATGCACTTTTATGATGGAGAGATGCACTTATCATGGATAGATGCACTTTTATCACGGATAGATGCACTTTTATCACGGATAGATGCACTTTTATCACGGATAGATGCACTTTTATGATGGATAGATGCACTTTTATGATGGATAGATGCAATTTTATGATGGATAGATGCACTTTTATGATGGATAGATGCACTTTTATGATGGATAGATGCACTTTTATCACGGATAGATGCACTTTTATCACGGATAGATGCACTTTTATCACGGATAGATGCACTTTTATGATGGAGAGATGCACTTTTATCATGGATAGATGCACTTTTATCACGGATAGATGCACTTTTATCACGGATAGATGCACTTTTATCACGGATAGATGCACTTTTATCATGGATAGATGCACTTTTATGATGGATAGATGCACTTTTATCACGGATAGATGCACTTTTATCACGGATAGATGCACTTTTATCACGGATAGATGCACTTTTATGATGGATAGATGCACTTTTATCATGGATAGATGCACTTTTATCATGGATAGATGCACTTTTATCATGGATAGATGCACTTTTATCATGGATAGATGCACTTATCATGGATAGATGCACTTTTATCATGGATAGATGCACTTTTATCATGGATAGATGCACTTTTATCATGGATAGATGCACATTTATCATGGATAGATGCACTTATCATGGATAGATGCACTTTTATCATGGATAGATGCACTTTTATCATGGATAGATGCACTTTTATCATGGATAGATGCACTTTTATCATGGATAGATGCACATTTATGATGGATAGATGCACTTTTATGATGGATAGATGCACTTTTATGATGGATAGATGCACTTTTATGATGGACTTTTATGATGGATAGATGCACTTTTATGATGGATAGATGCACTTTTATGATGGATAGATGCACTTTTATGATGGATAGATGCACATTTATGATGGATAGATGCACTTTTATGATGGATAGATGCACTTTTATGATGGAGAGATGCACTTTTATGATGGAGAGATGCACTTTTATCATGGATAGATGCACTTTTATCATGGATAGATGCACTTTTATCATGGATAGATGCACTTTTATCATGGATAGATGCACTTTTATCATGGATAGATGCACTTTTATGATGGATAGATGCAGATTTATGATGGATAGATGCACATTTATGATGGATAGATGCACATTTATGATGGATAGATGCACTTTTATGATGGATAGATGCACTTTTATGATGCATAGATGCACTTTTATGATGGATAGATGCAATTTTATGATGGATAGATGCACTTTTATGATGGATAGATGCACTTTTATGATGGATAGATGCACTTTTATCACGGATAGATGCACTTTTATCACGTATAGATGCACTTTTATCACGGATAGATGCACTTTTATCACGGATAGATGCACTTTTATCACGGATAGATGCACTTTTATCACGGATAGATGCACTTTTATCACGGATAGATGCACTTTTATCACGGATAGATGCACTTTTATCATGGATAGATGTACTTTTATGATGGATAGATGCACTTTTATGGACTTCAAAACAGAAACGGCCATTCACTGCCATTATAAAGCTTGGAAGAGCCAGGACATTTTTTAATATAACTCCAATTGTAAGAAGAAAATGTCTGAAAGAAGAATGTCATATACAGGGTGGACATGATGGTGAGTTAATCATGGGCTAATTAACATTTTTGCGTGAACTATCCCTTTAAGTGTGTTAAAACTAGAGTAAAAGTACACTTTCTTAAAGTATATATTTTTTTTAAATGTACTTAAGTGCACTTCTTTTTCACAAGGGGGGGGTGTGGGTGTCTTTGCATTGACCTGTCTCTTTGCCTCCTCAGAGTCTCTAAAGGACCTTGTGACCATGGAGGTGGACGTGAAACCAGAAATCCCCACCCCTCCAGCATCAGATATCGGCTCGCCTCAATCCAGCGGCACCTACTCGCACCACGGCAGCGACTCTGAGCCGGACAGCCCAATGGTAGAAGACAGCAAGGTAGCAGAAACTCCGATGATCTGCTTCTCCCGTCATGCCTTCAATGAATTGGCTTCGGTCATGAAGCAATTGAATGTGTTAGCGTGTAGTGGATAATTAATTTGCCTGAGGTCAAGAACCTAGAAGAATAAGCGTATCACGGTTTAACACCATTTCCTGTTCTCTCGTGTAAGCCTGTGGTGGAGAGGGCTGGAGGAATGCTGGATCGCTCTCGTATGGCTCTGTGCGCCTTCACCATGCTCTTCCTGTCCTTCAACCCGTTGGCATCTCTGCTGTGTGGCGGCTGGAGTAGCTCTGGGGCGTCTGTCTCAGGACACACGGGAAGGAGTATGCTAGCAATGCAGGAAGCAGGTACCAATACTCAAACCTTTACGATCCCGATATATACTCACAGCAAAGTGCTTTTTCAGTCTTCGCTTAGGGATAATATAAGGTGAAATGCCGATATACTGTTAGCGAACATCCCAATGCTGTAGAGAGCGACATTTAGATGAATATGGAAATATATACAGCACTTTATACAATAGATTTGATTTGTTTTGATATGTGTAGCCGATTCTTGGGCCTGGATGGATTGGATGTTGCCCACTCTTCTGGTGTGGCTGCTAAACGGTGTTCTGGTCGCTGGAGTTTTGATCCGACTGCTCGTGTATGGGGAACCTGTGACCAGACCTCACTCAGAATCATCCGTCCTCTTCTGGAGACACCGCAAGCAGGCCGATCTGGATCTAGCCAGGGTATAAAACACTCTCTCGCACGTATCCATATTAGATCTGGGAGTCCAAGTTCACCAGATCCCTTTCTACGCTTCTGTTTCTGCAATATTCTTTACGTATTTCTGCAGGGAGACTTTGCTCAGGCCTCACAGAACCTCTGGACGTGTCTCAAAGCTCTTGGTCGACCTCTGCCCACGTCTCAACTGGACCTGACCTGTGCTGTACTGTGGTCCGCCCTGCGTCTGTGTCTGCAGAGACTGTGGGTGGGCCGCTGGCTAGCCAGCCGCGCCGGAGCCCTTCGTTCCAACCGCCCCCTTCAGGAAGACGCCCGCAAGAGCTGCCGTGATGCTGCCTTGGTCTACCACCGTCTACACCAACTCCACATGACCGGTAAGTGGCTTTAGCATATAGAGGAATCAGGTAACCTTGTGGAGAGCAACTGATAGGGCAGGTTCACACAGAACGCATTTTTCCATTCCACTGCACTACTTTTCCATTGTTTTTCGATGTAAACGCGCTTGACGGACATGTTTGACTGTTGCGTTTGCTCGTCTCTTTTGCAGCATCTCGTACGATTCTAAAAACGCGCAGTTCAAGTTAAAATAAGGTCAACTTAAAAAAAACCTGCATCTTTAGACCTTGCTTTTTTTCGCTTCACTGCCCTCCATTTAACCGCAAAAACAAGTTCTGTGTGAATGGCCCCTTGAGCCGCCCTTTTATTATCTCTGACATTTGCGCACGATTGTCGTATTTGGCCCCTTAGTGGTCATCGCACAGAACTTTTAAATTGTTCAAAAAGCAGCCGTCACCCTCCGCTAATTCACCATGGTCAAATGACAGAGCAATGAATTTACGAATATATCCACACAAAACAAGCGACCGCCAATACGTTTGAAAGGAAAGCATAGTAGGGCTAATCAATGCAAATGGTAATTTAACAATTATGAAAATGTTTTCTGACATAATTTGGCTTTAAAGAAGACAAAGCCCATGCTTGACATGCGGGTGGAAAAATAAAAAGATAAAAGATACTGTGACCACGAATTAAGAATTCATTCCCAAGACTTATTAATTTTGTTCCCTTGTTTTCGTTAAATCGTGTCCAAGTTGTGCCGCTTCATTCCCTCGTTTTAATGGTTAAATTGTGGTCATGGTCTAGTCCAGTGGTTCTCAACCTCTCCTGCAGGGACCCCCTGACTGGCCATATTTTTGTGTTAACCCTGAAATGGCACACCTGATTCAATTAATTAAAAGCTCAAAGGCTTAATAAAGTGTTGCTTTTCTGTTTTAATTAGATTTAAAATTCCACATACGCATTTGATCGCAAATCCGTGCAGTTCCGTAACTACTCCACTGTAAATCAATGACTTCTGTTCTGTCGTTTGTTGTTTGTCAAGCTTGTGTTGACAAGTCTTCTAGCCATTAATCATATTTGCACCTGATGTTGATCTGTGTGTGCAGGTAAGCTCGGAGGAAGCCACCTCTCTGCCATCCACATGGCCCTGAGCGCTCTCAACCTGGCCGAGTGTGCAGGAGACTGTCTTCCTGTGGCCACACTGGCAGAAATCTGTGTGTCTGCAGCCCTACGGATTAAAACCAGTCTACCCCGCCTGATTCACTTCACTACTGTTAGTACACACACATTCACACTCACAGGCCCTGCTCCAATATCTAGTGAGCCGCACTGCTGTCAGACACATGCAAATCTTGATCATGACGGAACCTCAAGTGTTGTTTTTATGTGTACGCTAGCATAGCATGCAAGCTAGCAGAGACGTGCAACCTGACTTTCCTAACCGCGCGTATGCTCTGTATATTCGCAACTCTAGTTTAAATGAGTACAAAGGCATTTTTAGCCTTCATAACTTCTGGAGAGAAATTGCGCAGACACTGGACAAGGATGAAACATTCTAGTATGCATGTGTCAAGTGCCTGTTTTCGTGCACATTATCAAATGGAGTATACTATGGAAGGCAATGTGATCGGAAGACACATAAGAAACTAAATCATAATTATGATATAAAAAGTCAAAATTATGACACAAAAATTTGAAATTATGACATACTAGGCCATAATTGGGTAAAACCAAGTCATGATAATGAGATAAAAACTCAAAACTATGACATACTAATTCATAATTTACTATTTAACTATGTCAGAATATCAATTATTTTCTAATTATTTTGACTTTTCATATGCATGTCAATTTTGACTTTGTCATAATTATGACTTGACTTGGTATATCATAATTCTTCTAATAAACTTTGTCTCATATGATTTAAGATGACGTGGAAAAGTCTAAATTATGTGGCAGAAATGGACTTCAATAGGATACGCTTGTCAAACCTGGAGCTGTATTACAGAAATTTCTGATTTTTTTTTTTTTAATGTCCTAAGTGAAATTAGCATGGCTACTAAACGGATATGATTTTGAGTTGGGATCTTTCTGTTATACAGCCCCAGAGCAGCTTGCCATTAGCATGTTGCTAAGCTAACAGTGTGATCCTCTAAACAAGCATAAAACTGCACATCACGTATACACTTGCCCAATATGCACTGGGTAAAATGGTCCATTTGAAACTTGATTGTAGTATTTTTATCAGTAATTTCCAGGATTGAATGAATTCTATTCAGACTTCGGATTTATTTTAGCTTGTTGTGGAGCATTCTGGGCTTGAATTGTATGCCAAGATGCTAGCAATGCTACCAGACTTGGCAACGCCAGTGTCCGTGTGCCGCTTAAAATGCTGCCTTCATAGAGAGCTCACTAGGTTTTGGAACAGCGTCAGTCTCTTTTCATCCAGGACTGTTTTGTTCGTTTACTCTTGTTTTGATGATGTGTCCATATTTCGTTTCTGTGCTGCATATGGTAAGCGGAGATATGATGTTTCTTTTCATGTTCTCCAGCGAGTGTTCTTAAGCAGCGCTCGGCAGGCCTGTCTCTCGCCCAGTGGCAGCGTCCCTCCTGCCATGCAGTGGTTGTGTCACCCTCTGGGTCATCGTTTCTTTGTGGACGAGGACTGGTCCATACGCAGCACCCCTAAAGAGAGCATCTACAGCCAGGCAGGAAACTCAGGTCAGCACTAAACAGAGAAACCCAGGCTTTAACGTGCTCGTGATGATGATTCCCCAGTCTCACCCTCGTGTGTATTTGCGTTTGTCTGCAGTCGACCCGCTGGCTCAGGTGACCCAGGCGTTCCGGGAGCATCTGTTGGAAAAGGCCCTCTACTGTGTGGCACAGCCTCAAGGCGACAAGACCCTCACTGATGGGGACGGGTGGGTGTCATTCTCAGCGCTAGTTTGCACGAATCTCTATAGGAAATAGAACTGCACTGGTTTCTAGTCTATCTGTTATATTGTGCAGTTATAATACTGATGATGTCTGCTTTCACTTAAAGGGATAGTTCACCCAAAAATGGAAAATTAGCCCATGATTTACTCACCCTGAAGCCATCCTAGGTGTATATGACATTCTTCTTTCAGACGCATACAATCAGAGTTATATTAAAACATATCCTGTCTCCTCCAAGCTTTATAATGAGAGTTTATGGCTGGTGAAAATTTGAAGCCCAAAAAAAGTGCATCCATCCATTATAAAAGTAATCCATATGGCTCCAGGCGGTTAATAAAGGCCTTCTGAAGTGAAGCCATGCGTTTGTGTATGAAAAATATTCATATTTAAAACTTTATAAACTATAATCACTAGCTTCCGAAAGCTATAATCACTAGCTTTCCGATTGAGACGGCCGTACGCATCGATTTACGGGGTCTAAAACATTTAAAGCTTGTCCAAAATTACGCTAGCAAATTTTACGCTATATACTATAACATTTCAACTGAAGACTTAGCTTTTTGCCATAATAATTAAATCATAATGTAGACTTTGGTTAATTTATGTAAAACAAGATTTTCTTCCAAACAATTTTTTTTTTTTTTTTTTTTTATGTTTGTTTAACTGGCAGCATCGGTTGCTAAATATTACAAACTTGAGGATTTGCTTACACTTAATTTTACATTTGGTGCCGCATACACTTTTGAATCAGTTGTATCACTTTATCTTGTGGTTTGAGTGTGAATTTGAGTTGTGTGTGTTTGTTTGGACAGGGAATACTCGGACGCTCTGGAATACCTGCAGTTACTCACCAGTGCCTCAGACGCAGCAGGAGCCACTACACAGTCCTTTGCCATCGGATCCAACATGGCCACCGTCACAGGTACCATCACTTTAGATTCCACTCATCCCCGAGCTGCTGTTTTTGAGCACTCCTGGATCATGTTCTCAATAGCCCCTTTCACACAGCAATCCCAGTAAATTACCGTAAAATTACCAGATTGACTACCGGTAAATACACACATATGCTGTTCACATGAGCAACGGCGCTCTGGCTTTTTAGAGACCGTTTACACATCGGCACCAAAATACCAGTAAATTCTGTAAATGCCGCGCCGTTGTCTCGTACACTTTCTGCGACTTTCTGTGCGCACGCTCCGAGACGAAGGGGAACACAGACAGGCAAAGTGAAATTTCAGCATCAGGTTCACGCCTAATCGGATAAAAAACACACAGAAATATATCAAAACGCCCCGGTTTGGTGAGTATTTGCTTAAAACACCGTCAGTTACATCTCAAGTAGGGGTGTCACGATTCTCCAAATCCTCGATTCGATTTCATTTTCGATTCTAAGGTCACGGTTCGATTCTCGATTTTTATCAATCGGCCAATCAGGATGCTCTCTGTCTTACATGCGCTTCATGAGGCACACACGCAAGGTGTGTGCCTCAGTTTTTTCTGTCTCGCACGCTCGCTCTTGCTCGCTCGCTCTAGATTCCTTTTAACTAATTTACGTGCATCAGGGAGCCGCTATTATTATATCAATATGCGGGAGACTCCCGGAACTTCCGCGAGACTTTGGATGTCTGCAAACTGTGGCTTTTTTGAAGCGCGAACGTTGTCAACATTACTCACTGGAAATCCCAAAAAACTTCCACACCTGCGAGTCTGCGACCTCAATGAAAGAGGAGGGGTTCATGTTCTGTTGATGGGTCTCCTGCATCTGCAGTTGCCATACTATCTTTTGAATGGCTGTAGCTAAGTTAGAGGAGACCATAGACTTGCAGCACGCCGTGTTTTTTCCGCTTGGCAAGCCGAACGGACGTGACATGGGGGCGTGGCAGTATCGACGATTGTGAATTAATTTGGATCGATTTCGATTTTAATTAATTTCGATTTAAAATCGAAATCGTGACACCCTTAATCTCAAGTGAACATAAACAGCTGGGAAATAAGTGGCACGTGTATCAGTATATTGGATCCGTGCATTCAGTCTTAAAGTGACAGCAGCCTAATATTCCTGCTGCCGTCTGTTTCAATGTGAATCAAACAACAAAATACACTCACTTCTCTTTAGTAGGATTAATCTATCTTTAATTTATACAGGGAAGACTATCCAGTGGTTTTACATTTGATTACTTTCTGTTCTGCCTATTTATACTATTTATTTCACTCGAATGCTATATTTGGTAGCTCTAAGCTGTTCCTAATCACCTCTATGGGAGGGAATGGGATGTTTTGCACATGTTGCACGCCAATAAATAAAGAGTTCATGATACTTTATTATCTCCATTATACTTAAAATACATTGCTGTTAAGAAGAGCTAAATAAACGCAATGGGTCGATTTGAAGCCTTCCATTTATCACCTAGTATTATTTGTTTCGTTGACTGGGATCAGTGATCCGTATCGGCCAAAGTAATCTGTGATCGCCCCCAAAAATCCTGATTGGAGCACCCTTAATATATACTCGCATTTCCGCTTTCCGTTCAAGTCAGCACATTTCATATCTCCCAGCATTCATCTCAGCGTGTTTCCATTGAAGCGCATGTTAGTCAGTCACTTTGTGTGTGTGTGTGTGTGTGTGATCTCACCATCGTGTCTTTGACCTCCAGGCTGTGACCCTCACTCCAAATGGTGGTCGTCGGTGGCCGTGGTGGTCATCAACTGGCTCCAGGGCGATGACGCGGCGGCAGAGAGATTGTACCCAGCGGTGGAACACTTGCCCCTCAGCCTTCAGTCCGCTGAGTGAGTGACATTTGACACGGTCTCCAGGAAACCTCAACTGAAACACTTTATTCAATGCCACTCTCAGGTTTTCCCTTTAAGAATATCATTACCACAAGTAAATAAAGTTAAAATTGGTTGAAAAGAGATTGCACGAGTTATCAGTTGCCCATCAGAGTGGTTTTCCTTGGCGAATCGGCGTTTTGTTGATACAGCCCCGTTTATCTTTCAACCGGCCGTCCGGGAACAACGCTTCACTTGATGTGCGCTTTGTGTGGGTTTATTGCTTTTAGCTCGGCCCTGTGCTAAACGCTTCCTGTTTGTGTTGCAGGAGTCCGCTGCCCAAAGCCTGCCTTAACACTTTTAAAGCGGTGCGCTCCCTGCTGGTCAAACCTGGGAGTTACCAGCTCAGCCTCAGCTACTGCGAGAAAGCCAGCGTCCTGTTCAGAGACAGCCTCAACCTCGGCCCACACTGCACCAGCAGCACTCTAGACAAGGTAATGGCACACGCGGCGTTTAGACTCGCATCGGTTTGGTGTGTGTTATGTCTTGGACAGGGCTGTAGTGCATTGTAGTTGCATTGCATGTGCCTCAACTGTGCAATGTTCCTGCAGTGCAATACAGAGCTGCGCCGCAGGGCCTCTCCTGAACACACACACAGACCACGCTTATAAACGACTGGTCTCGAGATGATGTATGAAGTCAGTTCTCCTCAAGTTCACACAGGGGTTGTGGTAGGAGTTCATCATATTGTCTATGGACATGTTCAAATGATGTTTGACAACCACAAACCAGTGTTGTTTATAGTATTTATTTATATTTTGAATTTAGCTTCTTTTTTTTCTTTTAGTTTTGTTTTAATTCGATGTGCTTTTGTCATTTTTTTTATTAGTTTTTATTTTTCTATTTAGCTTTAGCTTGTCTTTAAGTTTCGGTTTGTTTGAATGATTTTAGAACTTCCACTTATTTCAGTTAGTCTACCTTTTCATTTTTTCCATCTAGTATTTGTATTTTAATTTCAACTATATTTCAGTTAACACAACAACAAGGTTTTTAGTAAACGATAACAACACTGGCACGATGTGTCACAATGCTTTTTGTCTTCATCTGAACAGTTTCTGTTGTTTTGTCATTTGAACCCTTTAACAAACTTTTTTTTGTGGGATGTTTTGGTTTAAAAGTGTGTTTGTGCTGTCTTATTACGTTTTAATGTTTTAATAATAATTATAACTAGAAGTTTTTCACATCAAACTTTGTTTACTTGAGAAAGCCTGACCAGACAGTTTGAATTTTTTTAAAGCTTTAAGTTTGAAGGTTTTGAAAGCAATACAGACAGACAGACAGACAGACAGACAGACAGACAGACAGACAGACAGAGATAGATAGATAGATAGATAGATAGATAGACAGACAGACAGACAGACAGACAGACAGACAGACAGACAGACAGACAGACAGACAGACAGACAGACAGACAGACAGACAGACAGACAGACAGACAGACAGACAGACAGACAGACAGACAGACAGACAGACAGACAGACAGACAGACAGACGGATGGATGGATGGATGGACAGAAATGGTTAGATGGATAGCTGGATCAATAGAAATGGATGGATGGATGGATGGATGGACAGAAATGGTTAGATGGATAGCTGGATCAATAGAAATGGATGGATGGATGGATGGATGGACAGAAATGGTTAGATGGATAGCTGGATCAATAGAAATGGATGGATGGATGGATGGATGGACAGAAATGGTTAGATGGATAGCTGGATCAATAGAAATGGATGGATGGATAGATGGATGGATGGATAGATAGACAGAGACATTTCTAGCATTAATTAGCACATTGCTAGCATGTTTTAACCCAATGTGAATGGTTTTAACATGCTAAAATGTAGTTTAACAACACATTAAAATATTCTTTATTTGAGCTTGTTGTTTTTGCTGTGTCACACACACACACACACACACACAGATGGTATTTGTGCTCTCAAAGAGAAATATCTTAAGGCTTTCGTCTGGATTGCAGCAGCTTGTGTGATGTGCTGTGCATGTGTGTGTTGTAGCTGGTGCAGTTGCTGCTGTGTGATCTGCTGTTGGTGACGCGCACTAGCGTGTGGCGGGAGCAGCAGGTGGTGTCCCAGCAGAGCTGTCCGACGGCCGCCTCGCCTGTGGAGCTGCAGGGCTTCCAGCAGGACCTCAGCTCCCTCCGCAAGCTCGCTCAGAGCTTCAGACCGGCCATGCGCAGGGTGAGTCCACGCCAAACACACCCGCTCTTACTTATGTCTCCAGTTTATTCAACTAACAAATGTTCTATTGAAGCAAACTATTGCATACAACTTGTCCTGGGTCAGGCAGTACGACCAAAATATTATATGACCAACAAACGGCACATACCATGTTTTCACCCGTCCTCTAGCTCGGATAATTAATTATTATAATTCAAAAAAATAAAAAAATCTTACTTATACATATTCACCTGCTTAAATTAGCTTCCAAAATAGCTTGCACAATAATGGTGCACACTTGCTCAGTAAGGAAGTACAGATATGGATCTTGCATACTAGGTTTAACTGTCGTTCTGTAGCGTAGGTTCATTTGATTCCCTGTGTAACTCAATGGCTGTGTTTCTCTCTGTGTCTGCAGTTGTTCCTGCATGAAGCCACAGCTCGGCTGATGGCGGGCGCCAGTCCAACACGCACACACCAGCTCTTGGACCGCAGTCTGCGCCGCCGCACGCCTGGAAGCAGAACAGGTGATCTCTAGCTACTTTTCTCTCGTCACTCATTTCATTTAAAATGTCTTTGTTTGAATAGAATTGTTTAAATCAGAGAAGAAGGGTTTGTTTGATATGTATGTGTGTGTGTGTGTATATATATATATATATATATATATATATATATATATATATATATATATATATATATATATATACACACACACACACATATATGTATATATATATACACTCACCGGCCACTTTATTAGGTACCCCATGCTAGTAACGGGTTGGACCCCCTTTTGCCTTCAGAACTGCCTCAATTCTTCGTGGCATAGATTCAACAAGGTGCTGGAAGCATTCCTCAGGGAGTTTGGTCCATATTGACATGATGGCATCACACAGTTGCCGCAGATTTGTCGGCTGCACATCCATGATGCGAATCTCCCGTTCCACCACATCCCAAAGATGCTCTATTGGGTTGAGATCTGGTGACTGTGGAAGCCATTTTAGTACAGTGAACTCATTGTCATGTTCAAGAAACCAATTTGAAATGATTAGAGCTTTGTGACATGGTGGAAGTAGCCATCAGAGGATGGGTACATGGTGGCCATAAAGGGATGGACATGGTCAGAAACAATGCTCAGGTAGGCCGTGGCATTTAAACGATGCCCAATTGGCACTAAGGGGCCTAAAGTGTGCCAGGAAAACATCCCCCACACCATTACACCACCACCACCAGCCTGCACAGTGGTAACAAGGCATGATGTTCCATGTTCTCATTCGGTTTACGCCAAATTCTGACTCTAACATCTGAATGTCTCAACAGAAATCGAGACTCATCAGACCAGGCAACATTTTTCCAGTCTTCAACTGTTCAATTTTGGTGAGCTCTTGCAAATTGTAGCCTCTTTTTCCTATTTGTAGTGGAGATGAGTGGTACCCGGTGGAGTCTTCTGCTGTTGTAGCCCATCCGCCTCAAGGTTGTGCGTGTTGTGGCTTCACAAATGCTTTGCTGCATACCTCGGTTGTAACGAGTGGTTATTTCAGTCACTGTTGCCCTTCTATCAGCTCGAACCAGTCTGGCCATTCTCCTCTGACCTCTGGCATCAACAAGGCATTTCCGCCCACAGAACTGCCGCTCACTGGATGTTTTTTCTTTTTCGGACCATTCTCTGTAAACCCTAGAGATGGTTGTGCGTGAAAATCCCAGTAGATTAGCAGTTTCTGAAATACTCAGACCAGCCCTTCTGGCACCAACAATCATGCCACGTTCAAAGTCACTCAAATCAACTTTCTTCCCCATACTGATGCTCGGTTTGAACTGCAGGAGATTGTCTTGACCATGTCTACATGCCTAAATGCACTGAGTTGCCGCCATGTGATTGGCTGCTTAGAAATTAAGTGTTAACGAGCAGTTGGACAGGTGTACCTAATAAAGTGGCCGGTGAGTGTATATATATGTATGTGTGTGTGTGTATACACTCTCACACACACACATTTGATTATTTTATTTGGAATGACCAATACTGATTAAAACAACACAGCATCCAAATATTCACAAAGAGTCTGTTATCTTTCACCTGACAATACACACATCGACAATAGTCACAACCACATGAATATATAAATAAATACTATGTAATAATACTATGAAATAATAAAGACTATGGATAGAGGTGGCATCGGCTTCTCCAAACATGCAGACTGCCTATGATTGCTGACACGGAACAGTATTTTGCCGTACACACACACACACACACACGTACACACACGTACACACACACACGTATACACACACACGTACACACACACACATATAAATTAGTGCTGGGCAATGATTAATCGCATCCAAAATAAAAGTTTGTGTTTACATAATATATGTGTTTGTACTGTGTATAATTATTTTGTATATATAAATACACACACATGCATGCATGTATATATTTAAGAAAATTATTTTGTATAATAATTAATTAATATGTAAATTATTTGTATACAAAATATTTATATATAATGTAAATTATGTATAAATATATATACAGTATATACATGCAAATATTTCTTAAATATATACATGCATGCATGTGTATTTATACATACAAAATAATTATACACAGTACAAACACATAATATGTAAACACACTTTTATTTTGGTCACACACACACACACAAACACACACATGTGTATATATATATATATATATATATATATATATATATATACATTAAAATATAAATATCAAACAAACAATTTTATTTTTAACAAAGACATTTTAAATGGAAAAGGTTTTTTATATATATATATATATATATATATATATATATATATATATATATATTAATTAGTAAAAACAGTTTTCAACATGTATCTATATGTGTTTACTATTTATATAATGTATAATCATATCATGTATATTTTATGATATATTATTTTCCATTAAAAAAGAAAATTGGTAAAAAAAAAAATGCACAGCTCACAAAAGTATTAATTGATGGTTTAATTTGAATCTCTTCATTCAATTAAAAAAAAATGTAATCATGTATTGTATTGCAGTTACTAATAAAGTCATCAGCCATTAGGCAAATATCTCCATTGAATGTTAGTTTTGCACCCTGCTTACGTTTAGTGTGTGTGTGTGTGTGACAGAGGAGTGTGAGACTCATCCAGGCCAGCGTGAGCAGGCAGAGGCCGTGATGCTGGCGTGCCGTTATCTGCCCCCCTCCTTCCTGTCCGCCCCGGGCCAGAGGGTGGGCATGCTGGTCGACGCCGCCCGCACGCTAGAGAAACTGGGCGACAAGCGCACCCTCCACGACTGCCAACAGATGATCATCAAACTCGGCAGCGGGACGACCGTCACGTCCACCTAGCCAACTACACACCAACACACAAGAGCACTTTTACAAACACACCCCAACATCTCTCCGTCGAGGATCAACACGCTCTTCATTTCAGGCCTCAGTCAACCACATCCGGGAACGCAAAGACGGTTTTGTTGTTTTTCGTTTTTCTCCCCAACAGTTCACGACTGCATATCCAACAACAAGATGCACGGGACCATATTCTTGACATTTTTGATATGAAATTAGTTATTTAACTTATTTATACGCCCTACACAAAGATTGAACGGAAGGTGTTTTTGTCATTCCAGTTCCTTTGTGAAACGATGCACTGTGAGTGCTGACTTTGGCCACAAGATGGCGTTTCGGTGGGGTGAGCTGGACGCCGGTCCAGCGGGTGCTTGAATTGGACATGTATTGTAGAGCTTTGCTTTACCGTTTGCACCTTTTGAGAGAAACGAACATTACGACAGAAGGGGGACGGGGAAAAAAGTGCTTCTCTCAACTATGAGTTGAATAAAGTAGTTCCTACTTTACCTGTTATCGTCTGGGATGAATTCTGCATATTGATTAGAGAAAATTAAGGCTTTATTAAAGTTCTTTCTTTGTATATATTTTTAACGGAGTGTATTTATGATTCGTCTGACGCTGTAGGTGAGCAGCATTTGAAGAGGGGCTGATTTTGTCGCGCTGCTGAAACCAAACCGGTTTGAATGATTTGAAGTAGTTCGGCAGAAGAAGAGAAAAAAAACGGTTTCTCCCCGTAGCCACAGTATGTTCACTGGATTTGTGTCCATTTGCACTTTTTAGTGAGTGGGCTGCACTGTCACCTACAGACAAAAAGAGCCCATTGAATCCACTGTTTAATTTGTATTTCCAACCAGTTTGGTTGTAAGTCTTCCATTGGAGTCGGTATATCCAAATAATTTCATCCGCATCGAATGTCGTTGAAGAATTGATCATAAAGCAAAGACATCAGCGTTAACATCTTTATCCAAAGATACGATTTGATACCTGCAGCTCTTGTTAGGGGGGAGATCCATATTTCTATTTCATTTCTAGCCACAGTTTCTGTACGAACTCTGATTACTAGACACATTTTATATCCGCAGTAACCGTGAGATTTGCAATTGACATTCATTAGCCTACTTGTACGCTAACTTTTCTGTAGTGCTTGTGATCAAGTCTCAAAGATGAAACGTGTTTCAACTTGCAGATATAGTAGATCCTATATTGTCTTCTATTTGATTTATTCTTAAGATTGTAAATAAAAGTCTTTTGTAATGAAATGCTGATGACTCCTGATGTTATGGGCAAAACCCGATTAGCATAGAAAATATTTTTTTGTGAAAAACGGAAATGTATTTTAGTGTGAAATGTCTGAGGGCGTGTTATTCAGGAGGACATTTTTAATGGTACAAAACTATTTTAATATCAAATAAATGCAGTTCTTTTGGACTTTCTATAAGGCATGGTTTCCTCAGAAATCCTTTGGTTTTCAACATTGATGATAATCAGAAATTTCTTGAGCATCAAATCATCATATTAGAGTGATTTCTGAAGGCTCATGTGACACTGAAGACTGGAGTATGATGCTGAAAATTCAGCCTTGATCACAGGAATAAATTACGTTTTACAATATATCCAAATAGAAAAAGTTATTTTAAACTGTAATAATATTTCACAATATTACTGTATTTTTGATCAAGTAAAAGCAGCCTTGGTGAACACGAGACTTTAAAAAATTTTTTAACATTTTTTGTTTATTTTTTTAACATTAAAAATTCTTGCCGATTCCAGTTAGTTCAACATAAATGTAGTTCTAAAATTAGGATCATTTTGTGAATTAAAACCTCTAAGCTAAAATTCCAGTATCATATTTTTGCTATAACTGTTGAATAACACAATTACGACAGTGACACATTTAGACGAGTCCGTTTCCTAATGAAGGTGAATCTTAACCGAAAGCTTAAACTGTGACGGGTGTTTTATATAAGTAACAGTGAAAATGTTTTATGCTATGCGTGTGCAGAAATTTATTTTGAAAAATATATTTATTTTTTTATATATTTAGAGAAAAAAGTGTTGTTTTTATATGCATGGCAACTTTTTAACATTCTTTTGATAGTCTACTAGAAAATATATAAATAAGTGCTTTATTTAGTAACTTATTTACTTTTTTAACAAGATATTAACCGAAAATTAGTATATGACCGATATGATGTAAAAATTAAAGGTACACTGTCAATTTTTTTATTTTTTTTTACTGTCAACATTTAACAATTTAAATAATGAGTAAATAGCCTACATCATCAGTCCCTCATCCAAAAGGTGTTTTACCCTGATTCACTAGGGTAAGCCTATTATAAGTGTTTTGGACCTATAGGTTAATGTTTTTCGCGGGAAATTACGGACATTCCAGGAGGAGTTTACTGGTAAAAAAAAAAAGAAAGAAAGAAAGAAATCAACGCAACAGAGAAAAACAATAATCAACATTGGCTCGGCTTTTCGGAGATGGAGAGAAGGGATTTGAAATGTTATAAAAGCGATGCAGATATGGCGTTTTTATTATAGGCCTAGGTGAGTAAGGTATTTTATTGAACAGATAAATTACCATAAGCTCTCTGACATAGTTCATTGTAAGCATTATCTATAGTGAAGGGTCGTTTCGTTATGGTTGTTGTAGCTCTGAATGTGTTATGAGCAGTATGATAATAATATTCATCCGCACAGTCACGCAGAGCCGAAGCACAACCAAAACAAGGTTCTTCCGCAATATGCGCGCAGTTTTGTTTTTAACCACTAGAGGGCAAATAGTTACCTTTTAAGGTTGAAAATTCCTTTCATACAGGAAAAGTATAATTTCTAGAAATAAACACAGAAAGTGTGCTGGTGGTTGGGTGTTGAGATGTGACTAACTCAACTTGAAATAGGTTTGTTTCTACCTCGCTAAACCAACAGGAGAAGCCCCAGCAGAGTAAATAAAGGCGTTAAGAAAGCAAGAAGGATCTCTATGCCTCCAAATTTCAGACCACTGGCTGTGAGACAGAGACGTCTTTAAGGATAATAGCACTGAATTACTTTGCGTTGAGCGCCAACAAAGACGCACGAAAACAAAACAAAACGTGATTTTGATCTCAATTCTAAAGACAGCTGTTCATGTTCACACATATTTCACAGCAGCGTTACATAAAAAGAAAATACCAAACACACAGACACTTTGCAATATGAGCTGTGGACAAATACAATAAAAAAAACCCGTCCTTTTAATTCATTGTTTTAATAACTTTTGTAAGCAATAACATATTTGTTTTATAGAAAATAAACATCTCTAAGAAATACTATACACAATTATAATAGTACATCACATCTTACATTTAAACAGCATCAAATACTTATATACACAATTACTTAGAATTAGGAATCAAATAATTACGTGATGGTTCTGTCATCTCTATGCGCGCGGTCTTACCTGTAATACTGCAGTGAAGTGAAGCATATAATACTGTATTTAGTCACATATACATCTGGATTAAATGATTATGGATTCTCATGTTCAGTTTTTCACGTTGTCTTCTGCATCGTTTCACAAATAACATGAACAGAAATGTAAAATCTGTTTGTGGTATGGATCTCTTCAGTGAGCTGAGGCTTTGTAAGCTTAAAGGTCATCCAAAATTACAATTTGCCATTATTTACTCATCTAGGCTAGATGTTTTTTTTTTTTTTTTAAACTCATGTGACTTTCTTTCTTCATTTGAGTGTTTGAGAAGAATGTCCAAGCTGCCCTTTTCCACTCAGTGAAAGTGAATGGAGACTCGGGTTGTCAAGCTCCAAAATGACAAAAAAGTATCATAAAAATCAGTCCTATATTTAAAGAAAGTTTCAATTTAAATGTGCTGTTGCTCTACAATATGGCATTTTAGTTTATTTCACAGAAGAAAGAAAGTCATAAGGGTTTTGAGTAAATGAGGACAGAATTTTTATTTTTGGTTCAACTATCCCTTTAATAAATTCTGAGAAGCTGATACACATATTACGAACGCAGTGTTGGGGAAAGTTACTTTTAAAAGTAATGCGTTACACCCCCCAAAAAGTAACTAATTGTGTTACTTTTTACGGAAAGTAAGGCTTCAGGCTGAAGGAAATGCAAATTCAGTCGATAAATAGGAAAACAAAGTAACTTGCATTACTTATTTGAAAAAGTAGCTCAGATACGTTGTTGTAAATTTCAAAGTAATGTGTTACTTTACTAGTTACTTGAAAAAGTAATCCGATTACATACCTCTGATTACAATGCGTGACCCCCAACACCGTTCGAACGCAGGATATTTTCCCACCCGGATGCACTGTCGGACATCTCAGTGGTGCTGTTTTGTCTTCAAAATGCACATGAAAATAAGCCTACACTTGGAGTAGCAGTATATTAAAATAATGCATTTTTTTCCTCATGATATCAGAATATTTAGACCTGTAAAGCACACCATGTACAATTTCATTTTTTCTTCTTTGTAACATGTAAGTGTCCATTGAAATACATCCAGTGTTGCATGACATCTTCAAATTTCAATCCCCCTTTCCACAGCGGAAGCACGCGTGTGCCAACCAGCGCTCGGGGCAGCAGGCCAAATCCACCACCAGGTGTCCCCGACTGATAACATCCGCTCCAGAATACGGAATAAAATGGAAGAATGGCACATTCAGATTCATAACAAAAGTGTCTTTCCCCTTTTTCAGCTTTTGATCATGAAGGATCTTCTGTTTGGGCCGGGCCGGATGGATTCGGAGATGATCTGATCTTGGGTGAGTATTGCTACAGTATTTTTGTGCTTCGACTGAAGCCCTAGATTTTCTCTGTGTCCACAGCAACTTACAGCACACAGGCAAACGCATGTCCTTGTTCTACTGCATAGCTGACATTCACCAGTCTTCATGCGCCGGTATATATTACAACACCTGAAAAACAGATCCATTTGAAATGCGTAAGAGTGGAGAAAGGCTTGCTGAAACATTCCTCGTTCATATACATTACTAAGCCACCACATGTGTCTTAATGTATGGATTTCTCCATTTTTAAAGATGGAAGTCATATTAGGTACAATATCACAGTTATTTGACTATTTAGCTTTCCAGGTGTTCATTTTTTCTTACTCGAATGGAAATGCTACAAACAAAACATGTTTACTTGGGAATATTGTTTTAATCCGCAGTCATTTTGCATCCCTGATATTACTTTCCATCCTGTGAATCTTACGTAATATACCTTTAACTAACATGACATCATCCTCCAGGAAGTGGCATTATTTTGGAGGGAAAACAACAGCACAAATAACAGAAGGTATAAGTAACGGATTTAATGAATTCGTTGATGATTTGATATAATTTTTTCCCTCTTGATAACATTCCATCTGTTTGATCATTTCAACATCAGTCTGATAATATCAACATTTGAAAAGATGTTTTAAAATGTCCAAATGAGCCTCCTTCATGAAAAGTTGATTACTTACCACAAGAGCAATATGGCTAACTAGCTTGTTATTTCCCTTCTGTTCATTGTCTTGGCATATGCTATGCTAAGCACGTCATTATAGATTTATTTATTCATAACAAGATATTAACCAAAAATTATCGGATGACTGACGTAAGACCATGGTTGTTGATACAATGCTGATAATGACGAAAAATGTGATACACACAAATTTGCTGAAATTAAATTAACTTAGT